CATGAATCCCTTGCAGTTAAGGTCGCTCTCCCTTACTCTCGGATCAGGTTGGTTTAATCCTTCTGCCGTCTTCCCGCCCCATGTGCATTTAGCGCCTGCATCGTGTAACAATATTCTCTTGATCTCGGGATAAACAAGAAACTCCCGATTTGATCGAAGATTTCCCTTTGTTGATTGATTTTCGTGCTTCGGGTGGTTTTTTTTTTTTCGTCTTCCCTTTTCTCGGATAAAATGTTGGCCTTTTTTTATTTTCTTGTCTCCTATTCTTCGGCGTTGTTTACACTATGGATATATGCGTTTAGGTGGGTATATTTTGGTTTTCTGTCTATTTCCTCTATTTCCTTTGTCACTTTCTTCTCCTTTTCTATGTTTATAGCTATGACTGAATGAATCATCTTCGAAAAATATCATCCTCTTCTGTAGATCACCATAGTCGAATGAGATTGTAACACGCGTTGAGTATTGTCGTATAAAACTATCAGATACGGAGTCATCTGGAGCACATTAACAATTTGAGTCTGTCCTGTCATTTCTACACGATCATTGAATGGCGATACGTATGTCGGCTTTATCTCCTATGCTGGCTATATCGTCATGCTTTCCTAGTTCAACACATCCCGATATGTTCATTCCATCATACTACGGCCATTTGGCAATTAATAGAATCCACATATTCTAATAATTAGATACTCTATAATTCTTCAACCCATGGGGACTGTGAGATACGATGTATCATCTTTGTTGACAAACTCTACCATCGCCTGAAGTGTGGAAACGCCAGATTCCCACTTGTATAGAGTTGTACACAGGATTTTACGTGTTTGGGTATTTCCCCCTTTTCGGATAGTTCAAACATACTTTCCTAAACATTCTTGGATACTGGGCCTACGACATAAGAATGCAAGCAACTGAGTGATATGGATTTTTTGGTCCGCGACGAATCAGCTGTCAAGGGCCGTCTCAAGTGTCAGCTGGTGGAGACCAGTTCAGATTTTGTGAAATGGACAAGTGTTCTCCCAAGTGATTTGGATGGTTGACTTTTTTTTTTTTTTTTTTTTCAAAAGAATAGTTCAAAATTATACTGGTTGTCGTTTCAAATCTAGAAATATAGAGGTGCATGTACTCCGAGCTCTGGATGATAAAATATGATTGGGTCCAGGCCGTGTCTCACTCGAACCTCGAGTTGGGGATTTCACGGTCGTTTTCCATGCCTTTCTCTTTCCAGTACTTTTCAATGAGACTGAAGTAAATTCTGGAAAAAAAAAAGGACAGAAAAGCAAAAAGGGGGTGATCACGAAGAATTACTCTGTACAACTTGGCAAATTAGAAAATAAAGGCTGAAATTTAAGACCAAATAGGGTCCAAGTATCCTGCGCTCCCTACAGGTACACGCAGCCTTAGCAAAGTACTCCGTACAGGGAAGTAGAAAAGAGTTAAAAGAGTAGGGAGAAGAATGGACAGCACATTGAATATTGGCGTGACGATAGTAATATATGTAGTGTCCAATCTCAATTTGCCCCTAAGTTCACACAAGGTTCTAGACGATCATGACTATAAATAAAAATAACAGTCTGGGCCACTTGGCCAGAAAGAAGGTCAAAGTGAACCTGATATTTTGTACAGAGCCGTCGATCTAATATAGCAAAATAAATAACAGAATAGACAGTATTGAATCACATAGGACTAAGATGACTGAAGAAATGTAGTTGTCTGGACTGATATTAGCCGTCCTTGGCAGGCAATCGCATTTCCCCCGTTCCCGATCCTATTTTCTCCCTATCAACCCTTAACTTCGACCTTCTCGATCCTTTTCTCGCCACATTCGTTCTGGGGGTTTACGAGTGTTTTCGAGACGGGAGTGCCCCTGAAATTCTACATATCTTTCATCATGTTGTTGCCAAAGGGTGGTGTCAATTGGAAATCGGCCAAGGCCAGATTGCCGCCATGGAGGGCAATCATCGTCTTATTAACACGGACTCGCTTCTTGGTGTCCATAGCCTTAACGGGCCTACTCATCCTCATGTGGCGTGGTGTAAGCAGGTCTGCATCAGAAATGCAAAGGTGAGCCCACGCAATCCTGCGGGAAATCATTCATACTGACTCGGCGCCAACAGCTTCTACTGCTATGGTTCTAGCAAGTCGCCCATGGAGATGTCCATCAATGAGATGGTCGAATGGAGTGCACACGCCCAGACCCCCGTTCTCTTCAACCGCCACGAACCTTACGAAGTCAACTCCACCTCCATCGTCGATTTCAACCTGAACCCGATCAAGTCTACCCCCAAGGCCGCTCTAAACCACGAACGCGTACTCATCCTGACCCCTCTTCGTGACGCTGCTCCTTACCTGGCCAAATACTTTGACCTCCTCTACAAACTGTCTTACCCGCACGATTTGATCGATCTGGCCTTCCTTGTCGGTGACTGCAAAGACGATACCCTCGCAAACCTCGCATCTGAACTCGATCGCATCCAGAATCATGCCGAGGAGAAAATCCGTTTCCGCAGTGCAACCGTTATTCAAAAGGACTTTGGTGCCGACGTTGAGATGAGTGTGGAGGAGCGACACTCGTTCGCCGCACAGGGTCCACGACGCAAGGCTATTGCCCGTGCCCGGAATTACCTTCTCTACTCGGCTCTGAAGGCCGATCACTCCTGGGTATACTGGCGGGACGTGGACATCACCGACTGCCCCGAGCGTATCCTGGAGGACTTTATGGCCCACGACAAGGACATTCTCGTGCCAAGTATGTGATTATGATTGGAACTTGTGTCGGAGGTCGAACAGCTGGCTGACATGTGATTTTTTTCTAGATATCTGGTTCCACCGTTACAACCAGGATGGCCACGATATCGAGGGTCGCTGTATGTATTTCCATGACATCCTGTGTGCTATGCAGATTGCTGACATCTTCATACCTAGTTGACTACAACTCATGGATCGAATCCGACAAGGGCCGCCGCCTGCGCGCATCTCTACCTACCGACACCGTTCTGGCCGAAGGCTACAAAGAGTACGACACTGGCCGCACTTACCTCGTCAGCATGGGCGACTGGCGAAACAACAAGGATGACGAGGTGGAGCTTGACGGAATTGGTGGTGTCAACATCCTCGTCAAGGCCGATGTGCACCGCTCTGGCATCAACTTCCCCGCATACGCATTCGAGAACCAAGCCGAGACCGAAGGTTTCGCCCGCATGGCCAAGCGAGCTGGTTATCAGGTGGTCGGATTGCCCAACTACGTGGTCTGGCATATCGATACCGACGAGAAGCCCGGCAATCTTGGAGACCGTAAAGCGTTCTAGTTTCCGCCTGCATTTCGTCCGCCCGAAATCTTGCCTGGGATCAAGTTGATCTTTGATCCCGCCCCGTCCTCAAATATCCATCATTCTCCATTGCCGCCTGTGTGTTGCCTTGCCGATCATCTCCATCGGGCGAAGCTTTCAACCACGGCGGGTTTCACTTCTCCCCCGGTCCATTTTCTTTTTCATTTTTTTCTGCTGGATGGATGTTTCGCGACGGAAAGCCTAATGACTTCCCTAATACAGTATCTTCGTGCCGCGTTTTAGGGAGTGTGTGTATTTGTTACCTTGGCGCTACGGGGGAAAATGTTGTTTGGCGGGTCGCAGGTCTATAGAGTTCGCTGGTTCTCCAGGCCTTGGTATAGCGAATTGGTGTCTGGGACACACATCCTGAGTTATGGGGATGTGTGCATATCCATGTGCACTCGAGTGATTCAATCTCGATCATCTGCTTTTGCGCAAACCTACATTAGGGACCGAGAACCGGACCGTCCACTGTCATGTGTTTTCTTGTTTCCAAATTTGATTCTGATTCTGCTCTGCAGGTCACTTCCGAATTGTCCTTTCATCTTTCATTTTCTTGATCTTGTCATATGCTGAGCTGGCGTCTTTGACTATTTTGGGGGGGATGAGAGGCAGGATATCAGACAAGCTGAGTTGAGATCCAGATGCTGTGTGATGAGTCTAGATGTCTTGCGGATGATGCACGACCGACACCCACGCTGCATTGGCCTATCTGCCGAGTTTGGGCATGTATGTATATATAACATAATCAATTGCACGATTCCATTTCCTGCAGATAGTACAAGCCATATGCTCTAAAAACGCTAGAATTAGTTCAGTTGCAGATCTCCTAGCACATATACGTGGCTTCTCAGGCCAGTTCAGGCTCACATTTCTTTCTCTGCCGAACCCAACCCATAGCCCTTCGGAAATTCAAATGCTCTCTCATCCAATCCAGGACACTTGCGCAATGCAAAGAAATCTACCGGTGGCTGATCTCAAATCCGTTTGATAAGGATAAAACATGTCCCATTGTCTTCCGGTCATTCCTGGACGGCTTGGGTTTTATATATCAACAAGGTTGATGCCAAAAACCTGATATTAGGGACCACCAAATTGGGTGGCTCGGTAGATTGTTCTTTCAGGATCAGGCTTGATCCTAAAGAACACACTTCACGACTGCTGTAAGGTTGATATGGTGGTGGCCAGCTACATGCTGAACAAACATTTTCAGCTGATGGGGATTTCAGGCTTTGGTGAAAGGAGCATTCAGATATATAAGCAAAGGGGTGGCACACTGTACATGAAGGGTCTACATCCTCCTTTTTTTTTTTAATGAAACCCTGTTGGCTTTGAATCCTCTAAACAGAATAATGTATATGTATAAGAGGTTTGAAGATTTTCAAGCCCAACACTAAATACGTTGCAATGAATAAATGGGGCCAAAACATCCCTAAAGGCAACGTAATCATCTCAATGCCGATGTTGCCGTTGCCTAACTCTAGCAACATTACGATCTGAACGAAATATCATCAAACCACTTGGATTGAAAGGCGCCTCCGATCCGCCTAAAATTTGATGTCCTTTCCTAAGTGGCACACCTTTAGGTCCAAGCTTTGTTACTCCAGCATGGGATCTGCAGGATCACCACTATAAACGGCCCCAGTTTCACTTAGATGAAAGCTATCAACCAAAATGCCTCCCGTATCTAAAACATGTCAGAGCTGCGCGGATTCCAAGGTGCGATGTGTCCGGGATACCGATATGGCCGCGTGTAACCGGTAGGATTCCGGATAGAACGAGTTCTCTGTGGAAGAAGACTGGAGCTTATTCAGACTATTCAGATGTTCCCGTTTGGGAAAAGACTGCCTATATCGCCAGACCGGTCGTCGGTTTAAAGGCTTCCAAAAGGACCGGTGAGCAGGCCCTTTGTGATGATCAAATTGTTTATTCACTTCTAACTCATAACTCAGTAAGATCGCGGCTCTCGAGTCAAAGATCAATGAACTCAAGGCCGGGCGTGCTGACCTAGAAGAAAATGGCTACAACACGAGCACGCGCAGCATATCAGTAACTGATGGCGATGCTGCGCCAGAAGACATCATCAGCCGAGACTTGCTTGACATCGAGACTGCCAAAAGGTACCTCAGCATGTTCAGGACCAAGCTTACCCCACACTTCCCCTTTGTGGTTGTGCCTTATGATGTATCTATCGAGCAGCTTCGCCTGGAGAAGCCATTTCTATGCTTAGCAATCCTTGCATCGGCTTCGTACGAGAACATGCCACTGCAACGGGCTCTGGGGGATGAAGTCAAGAAAGTCGTCGCTTCACGCATGGTCATCGGCGGGGAAATCTCTTTTGAGTTGCTGCAAGGATTGTTGGTGTTCCTCGCATGGTAAATACCGCCCTATCAATATCCTGATGTGGTGATCGCACCTCACAACATATGGCAGGTCACATTATCACTCACGCCCACACCGTTATACTCAATTCCTCCAATTGGCTATAAGCCTCATGATAGATCTGCGGTTGGACCGTCCGCCACAGACACAGACGTGGAAAACAGAATTGCGCTTTGGGCTTCAATATAACCTGCACAATCGGACGCTTAGTCGGCCTTCTTGGGGAAGCAATGAGCAGAGGGCTGTCCTAGGCTGTTACTATTTATCGTCATCGTGAGTTTCTGTGCGATCGACCTTTATCAGATTCTGGGGATTGACTAATGGTTATTCTGCTTCAGGATTGCGATCCTTGTGCAAAAGAAATCTACTGTGCTGCGTCTCCCGTACCAAGAAGAGTGTTGCAAGACTCTTCGCGAAGCCAACGAGTATCCTCACGACAAATACATCAGTTATGTGATACAGCTCCAATTTATTGCAGAGAAAGTCGACCAATTATCTGCAAGGCATGGAGTCGACTTGGAAAAGCCTGGATCGGGGTCTGAGCTCTATATTACCAACCTCAAGTCGGATCTGGCGGCATTCTACCGTCATCTACCCTTCGACATCAATGAAAACTGTAAGTCCCAACGGAAAACCAGGCGCACTTTAAAGGGAGACCCAAAACTAACTTTCCGCTGTAAATGAAGTTCTTCTTGCAATACAATACCACGCGACAGGGCTTTGCCTATACCAACTGGCTCTCAACATTACCAACCAAGAGCCTCAATTGCCCTTCGAATCTAGCTCCTGGAGGGAAGAAATGTCGTTCTCTGCACTCATATCAGCCAGCTCAATTCTCAATCTGTATATTCAACTTCCACCCAACGAGGAAGTCGGATTTAACAATACGCAATGGGTGCAGATAGCATTTGCTTTGCTAGTTGCCTATCGACATACCGTGGCAGCCTCCAAGTTAGACCAAACTGCTGCGCTCCTAGATACACTGTCAAAACTGAAAACGAGGGTTGGGGCGTTGTCTACTTCCGATGTGGATATGAACGGCGCCCGAGATGTTTTCTACAACTTTAGGAACCGTATAGTCCAAATTGAGAACTGGCTCGGGAGACATGGTAGACAGGGAGATAACGCTCACGGCGAGGTGAGCCTTGAAGACTTTCAACCCACAGCATACTTGGAGCCGACACACTTTGACGGGCTCATAGGGGCTGCTGAGGCTGCAGCGAACTTTGATATCCCTCATGGGACTTCATTTTCATCCTCTGCGGACGACTTGCAAATCCCACAAGACTTTCTCTCGACATGTTCGTTTGAGCAGATTATGCGTGACTGGGCATGACCATGGATACAAAACCTCATTTAATGGGGCAAGTTCCTCATAAATCTTCTCTCTTTGTATGATACCCTCCAGCTAGGAGGCAAAAACTTGCCAAAATTGCACATTTCAAAAAGATTCCGGAAAACGACCCGAGAACACCCCTGACGTGAGAAACAAAGATAGGCAGCAGTGCTTGGACTTTTCTATCTTTCAATTGCGATGATTCGATGCTTCCACAACATACTTATTGCCGAGCCGATCTATACAAACCATGAAGAGTTTCATTATCACCGGCCCGATGTTGGATATAAAAAAGCTGTGCAGGAAGCAAGAATCCAAATACCAGTCTAAATCAATTGTGATCCCCAAAATGGTCTCAATCCTTCACGCTTCGGTGGTCTCCTTACTCTTCTCTTCGGCTCTGTCTTTCACCCCATGTCCACTCCTCGGCCCTGCATTTCCTCCCTTCTCTCTCGATACAAATGATAAAACCATTGCGGGCACCCTGAAAAAGCTCACGCAGGAGTTTGACACCCTTGTCTCAACAAAAACGGGTGCTCATGGCGATATCTCCCCAAACACCACCTTTAGCATCGCCTTGTTCTCGTCCGACGCCGGGAATGCCGAAGACGAGCCCTTCTTCTGGCAATATCACCACACAGCCCCTACATTGAACCAGTCGGCCGTGGGATCTCACTCCGCGGACAAAGACAGCATTTATCGTATTGGTGGTCTCACTGAGGTTTTTACCGTGTGGAGCCTTCTTCTCACGGGAGACGGAGACCAGATATTTGATGATCCTGTTACCAAGTACTTCCATGAACTGGTTGATGATACTAGAGAGCAAGATACGATTGAACATGTGAGGTGGAACGATGTTACTGTTGGCCAACTTGCGAGCCATATGTCTGGAGTTGCAAGGGACTGTAAGTAACATGCTAAACAGGAATATGGCTGATGACCAAGACTGATTTATGAACAGATTGCTCGAAGGATGTGACTTTGCAAACAAGCTCTGCTGAGGCGGGACTACCTCCACGTCAAGCTAAACAACTGCCTTGCTGTGGTGATGGTTCCAAGTGTGATAGAAGTGGTATCAAATCCAACTCTGTGCCTTCTATTCATAATTACTAATATCTTCACAGACTTCATTCGACACCTCGCCAAAAAAGCTCGCGTGGCTCCAGCTGGGGGAACCCCCAGCTATTCCAACATGGCATTCCAGCTTCTAGGCTATTTAGTTGAAAAGCGCACAGGAAAACCATTCAGCAAAGTTCTTCAACACGACATCTTTGACGTTCTAGGCATGACTGAAACCTCAATCTTTGCGCCAGGAAAAGCCACCGCAGGAATTATCCCCGTGAGTCAAAAGGCCAGTGGTTGGTTAGCACGCCATGAAGGAGACAAAGCGTAAGTCCATCTCTGCTCCACACATACCAGTTCACCAACCTGACAGTGCATCCACCCCAGATCGAAATCTATTTTCTCCAGTATCAAAGATCTTGCAACAGCCGGCCAAGCAATCCTCAACTCAACCCTCCTCGACAAACCCCAAACACATCGCTGGTTCAAGCCAGTCTCCCACACCTCCAACCCGGCCAACTCCATCGGATCCCCATGGGTGATATATAGCGCCGGCTCATACCCCAACACATCCATGGTCGACATTTACACAGTTCTCAGCAACGAAGGCAATGACGAGAGCCTCTACAGCTCATACCTCGGCTTAGTTCCGGACTTCGGTGTCGGGTTTGCCATCCTCTCGGCCGACACCGAGGCCCCGGCAGACCTCAACGCGCACGCGGACATTATTGGTGATGTCGTTCTAGGAGCATTGATGAAAACAGCTATCAAACAGGCAGCCGAGAATTTTGGTGGCGCATACAAGGCATCCAAGATCAATTCGTCCATTACCGTTGAATATGACAGCTTGCCTGGTCTGTATATCGAGGAGTTTGTCAGTAACGGCACCGACTTTCGTGCAACACTGGCTACGATCATGGGTATCGCAAAACCGGCGGATCTGAGTATTCGATTGTACCCTACACAACTGGTTCAAGAATCTGGCTCTGGCTCTCAGCAGGCTTTTAGAGCGGTTTTTCAAGATATGACTGAGCTGGCGGATAATGGAACGCCGACTTGTGTGTCCTGGCTAGATCTTGATCGACTCCAATATGGAGGTCGTGGTTTGGACGAATTCATCTTCTCTCTGGATCAGAGTGGTCAGACTGTCAGTGTTGAGATTCCAGCTTTGTGGGTTTCGCTGGAAAAGAACTAACAGGGGAATGTTTGTATATTGTATAGCAAAAATTGGAAAATAGATACGCACGTGACCGATGGTATAGCTACACCTTGGGGGGTCTAAGCCCATAGAAGTTAGGAAATCCCTGGGAGAAAATCCGGTATAAACCGATTGTAGGTGCATGCCGTTGTATGAATCCCAAGTGGACAATCCAATACATTCCATTTGCCTTCGCCATGTCATTTCGTCTCTGCGTCCTACACAGCAAAGCCCCCCGCTTTCCACGCGTGGCCACCGCTCCGTGTTCGGCCCTTCTGCCCCTCGACTTCGACTCCAATCTCCCTTACTAGAAAATCCATCTTAACCTTCCAATCTCGCAATATGTCTTCCGCCACTAAGAAAGAGTTCCTCTGCATCCTGCCTGATAAGGCCGGCGCGCAGGCGAAGCGTCTTGAGGTTCGCCCGTGAGTTTCCTATCATCTGGACATGCCTTATGAATCATTCTTGCTAATATCTCCAGTAAACATCTCGAGGGTGTTAAGACGCACGTTGCGTCTGGTGCTTTTGTTGCCGGTGGTATGTGACTCACTTTGGTTTTTGTATTTCTGCTTTTGTCTAGATCGCGCCATGGAAGGGTCTCAAGCATACATGCTGACATGGTTTGTTTCTTGTCCAGGTGCAATGCTCAATGCCCACCCTGCCGATGGCGAGACCCCCTCCTTCAAGGGAAGCATGATGCTCGCTGTTGCGGAGAATGAAGCCGAGGTACTTGAGCTTCTTAACAAGGATATCTATGTCACTTCTGGTGTGTGGGATATGGAGAAGGCTCAGATTATCCCGGTATGTCACACAGGAAGAGAGGTGTCTGGTCTTTTTTTCTGATCATTGCTGACCTGTCTCCTGATTTAGTTCAAGTCTGCTGTTCGTCAGGCTTTGTAGGTTGCAAATCTAGCTATTATCATTGAATTGGGTCTGGGTCTGGGGCTTGAGGTTTGTCGATTGATGTATTGAATGAAAGCGACTGGTCAGTCAGGTCGCGTTGCATCGGGATACCTTTGAGTTTTGCCAAGTAGTTCTGTTCTACTTGTAGAATACCGTATTAGCTTGGTTGAGTATGAAGTACGGAGTAGCAATGCCGAAAATGATAGATACGGTTAGCCTGGTTCTTTTGTCATTTAATATTCGGGTATGGATATCTTAGAATATCAGGATACATAAGCCGTAGGAACTATACTCCGGCTTCGTCGCCGCTAACTCCGCGGGGATAAGGTGGTAGAATGTAGTACTCCGTAGAATACTGCGATATGTGTGATTAGTATTCGAATGGTCGAAACACATAACATAAAATTGATAATTGATCGCCATGGTTCCTCTCTCCACTATTTGATATCATTGCCGAACAATTGGTTCACGAAGAGGCGGAAAACAGGACAGTGAGCGGGCGAGTCCACCGCGGAGAACTTGAGTGGTACGCAAGGGTCGCCACCCCTGAGAACTGATATCACCAGCACGCACTCTCACTGGCACAGACATATAATACCCCAACTTTTCCCATTTGGCGCATCATTCAAAGCATCACAATCGAAGACAGAAGCGATAGAAAAGTGAACGTCATCTTTGTCATCTCCGACGACCGGCGGATCCGGCCAAAGATACTACTCCATTAGGACTAGCGTGCTTATATAAGGTCCGATCAGATTATTTATGAATTCATCACTTCCGCTCCCTATCAGATCCATCTTTTTTCGCCTCCAACACGTATCATCTGTGAAAACCAATACCCCATCAAATCTCTATAATAATTCACAATGTTCAAGCGCCTCGTCACCGTTGCTCCCCGCGTCGGGTCTGTCGCAACTCGCAGCGCCTTTTCTCCCCTCACCGGCCTGCAGTCCGCTCAACCCGCCATCCGCACTGCTGCTCCTGCCCCCGCTCAACAGCGCAGAGGATACCACGAGAAGGTCCTAGACCACTACAACAACCCCCGAAATGTCGGCTCCATGCAGAAGGGTGACCAGGATGTCGGCACTGGTCTCGTTGGTGCGCCCGCTTGTGGCGATGTCATGAAGTTGCAGATTCGCGTGAACAAGGATTCCGGCCGTATCGACGATGTCGTCTTCAAGACTTTCGGTTGTGGCAGTGCTATCGCTTCTTCCAGCTATCTTACCGAGCTCGTCCGCGGTATGACCCTCGATGAGGCTGGCAAGATCAAGAACACCGATGTGGCGAAGGAGTTGTGTCTGCCTCCTGTCAAGCGTATGTGTTCCTTCTGTGATTGACTTGGTCTGATCATATGCTAACGTACACTTAGTGCACTGCTCCATGCTTGCTGAGGATGCTATCAAGAGTGCTATTGCAAACTACTACACCAAGAACCCCAACACCCGTACTACCGATCTGTCCGGGACAGGCGGTGTCATTCCTGACGCTAAGACTGAGACTGCTGCTGCCGTTTAATTTATTCCTCTTTGCTTTGACTGTGTGAGCCTCTTGGATGGATTTTCCATTTGGACGATGCAACTCACTCGTTTCGTTCTGACGAAATTTGTTTCTCTATTACTTCCGAGGTTGTCTTAATACACAATCATTTGATCAAGGATACTTGTTCTTGTCGCAAAGCATCGACAAGAACGGGTGAATTCGAAATTCGTTACACTCGGTGCTGCTGAAAATGTGTACCGAGGGATTACGATGGATGAGATGAAAACGAACAAATTGCCTATTTGTTTGATGTACATATTCCCTTTTTCTTCTCACGTTCTGGTTCTTTTTTTTTTTTTTTTCTGCGACGGCGCCTCGGTATCTGGGATTCTTGATCGATACTCTCAACACCATTATCTGAAAAGCAGCGCCTGGATAGTTTTCAATGAAACAATGAAACTAAAGAAGTCATCCATATTCAAGTAGAAAAGTAATAACGGAACAGTCTATAATTTATCATGTATCCACAATCTATGTATCTGTACAGGGACAAACTGGATCTTTGAGAATGAAGCCCGGAAACGTAGAACGACCCATACTCTTACCAGTCCAGTCGAGATGAAGAGGCTGTATGTGAAAAGAAATATATAACGCCGTCGCTGATGCACAGATAGATCACTCAAGATAATCTGTGCTAATGAGCCAAGAAAAGAAAAAATAAGGGATATAATGGAAAAACAGACCAAGAGCACCAAGGGTAAGCCATCTGCAAAAGGGATACACACCGTCTAACCACTCCGGAGGCCGAAGCGAGTTTTCAAGGACAGCAAAGTTTCATAAACAGACAACTTGATCTCAACGCGAAGGTAGCTCGCGTAGACATACAAGAAACGGAAGAAGTTGCGGAAAACACCGCCAGACTCATTAATGAGCTCCAACTGCTCTTCGAAGACAGTACGCGTGGCATACCGCGCGAGAATAAGGAAAGAGCGCATTGGACCCTGGCGCGTGTGAAGGTTTTCGTCTAGGCTGCGAGCTGGAATGGAGTTAGTCGGTGATACCGAAAAGATTCGAGCATTAGAGGTGAGATACATACTGAGGTCATTGGTCTTCAAGATGAGAAGAATAATCCGCGGAACCTGGCCTAGCAAAACAACCAATTGTTGCAGCATGCCTTCACCCAACGCACTGGAGATCTCCTTTTTCTCTTCGGCCGTCCGCGAAGAAACGACGCTTTTCTTCGTGAGCACGCTGTAGTCCCTACCGGTAATGGCGCTGGCAAAGAGTGGGAACTGCTCATCCGTGACACCAGCGACCTTCTGCGCGAACTCACGCATGCGTGGCACGTCCGCGTCGATAACGGCTAGCCATAGCTTAGCGTAGTTGCGGCGTAGGTCGCGGTCGATGTTGCGGTAGAGCCCGTGGTCATAGAGGACGATGTCGAAGTTGGGGTGTGAGCGGGTGTGGTTCGGGCGGATGGCGATATTGCCGCCGTGAGGATCGCAGTGGAGTGGAGCGTTGTCGCCGAAGATCATTTCATTGAAGACGTGTGCGAGAGCGGCAGAGACTTCGTCCCGGTCGATGTTGTTGGCGTCCAGATATTCCAGGTCGTCGGGGCGGTGGCCTGCAATGTATTCCATGACGAGGATACGCTTTTGGGACCACATCACTAGAGTCTGGTCAGCTTCGAGTTGTACTTCTAAGGACCTGGTTGGGTGCATTGCGAACCTTTGGGAATGACCAGTGGGGCATCGGAGTGCTTTTTGAAGTACTCGCTGGCAGCAGTAGCATTCTGGGCTTCGATGCGGAAGTCCAGCTCTTGCGGCAACGAGAAATCCATTTCCTTGGACAACCATTCCAGGTCGTATTCAGGAAAGAAGCGTTTCAGCATGGAGAAGGTAAATCGAGTCAAAGCCAAATCTAACGGAACCCATTCGTCCAGCGCGGGATGCTGGACTTTAACAGCGACCAATTGTCCAGTTTCCTTCAACGTAGCGATGTGCACCTGTGCCAGCGATGCGGCACCGATGGGTGTGGGTTCAAAAGAGGCGAACAGCTGATTCATATCCTGGCCTGTGTCCTTGCGGAATAGCTCACCAATTGACTCAATTGACGAGACAGGGCATCTGTCCTGAAGCGGGATGAAGGTCGAGGTCCATTCGATGGGAAGCAGGTAGCCCATGCTGCTGAGATGCTGGCCCAGTTTGATGAAAACCGATCCATTCTTTTCTAGGACACGGAGTGTACGCTCAGCGCATCGCTTGTGGCATGCGCGAAGCAGTGCGTCGTGTTCTTCGGGGGAGGAAGCGCCTCGTTTCAGGGTAACGCGGTAGCTGCAAAGATTCGAGGTTGTGTCAGCAATTTTTTCAAGACACAATATAGAAAATATCCGTCACTACACATAACTTACTCGTTGATACAGACAGCCAATGTACCAACAACACGCCCACTGCGTTTTGCGGCCTGGAACACATGCTGCGCTTGATCGGAGAACGTCACTGCGCCCAAACCGAGGACACTTCCAATGAGAAACCATTTGATAGCACTCCTTTGTGATGTATTGGAATTGGACTTATTTTCAGACTGGTGCTGGCTCTTAGTCTCCGCATACAAGAGAGGCGAAGTCTTCACAGAAAAGGGACGGCGTGAAGCGGCGAGGGTCGAGCCCTTGGAAGATGCTGAACGACCCCATGATGAAGCCTTGATTCCACCGGAAGAGGGCGACTGTCGAAGCGGCGAGTGCGAGGGCAGAACAAACGAGGATCCAGATGTCGAGGGTTTGGATGTTTTCCCGATCACCGTAGCGGGATCAATCTTGAAAGCCCGCAATGGCACGCGAAGCGCTGCGCTCATCCCGAAGCGAAGGCCACCGGCCAGGAAAAAAGCAATGTAAATTAGGAAATGATTGAGAGGGCTAGGCGTTTCTGGGCTCAATTCATCGTATGATTATTCGTCGGCTCAAGGAGATTTTTCACGGTTCTCGCCGCCAATCGGCTTTGGGACACGTGATTCCAGGATATATAGATCCATAACAGACGTCATGGCTCATTTGGCGTTGAGTTGGATAATGGGATTGACTAGTAGCTCTGATAGTGAAGTAAAGCCATGATCGAAGCATACATTCATATAAGAACAGAAAGAAAAAGGGAGGAGGACTGTATACCAAGGGCTGGCCTTCTTCCGCCAACAAATACAGTGCCTTTGAGATGCCTAACATACCAAGTGTTGTACCCGTGGACCTTTGAAACGCTTACTTATGGGCTTACACTAAGGAAGATTATGCAAATTAGAGAAAATTATTGATTCGAACGAAAAGAAAACCATAGACTTTATGTAGCAACCAGTACCCACACAATGACCAAGGGGGTTTACAAGGGAGTAAAACCATGCACCATCACTCCAAAGACCATTTGGAGTTGACAACGCCATTTCCTGTATATGAAACAGGCTAGTATGAGCCAGAGAAATTGGAAAAGCATAAGCACAAACATGTAGCTTCGCAGTAGACCTTTTTGGACGACCCCTTAGGTCCACTCAGAGTCTGCCAGTGTTGGGCGGCGGCGACGAGGAATGATTGAAGGTCGGCGACTCAGAGAGCCTGGAGTGTTGCTGTCTTCCTCACGTAGCAGTTCAACATGAGACATTCTACTAGAGAGGGGTCGTGCAGACCTGGGCCTAGCAGCAGCTGCACTGCTTCCATTGGCGGCCGACCCAAGAGCCGGATTATTGCCATCTCGACTGCCAGGCCTCATAGCCAAAGAGGAAACACTGAGAGAGTTCCGCGGATGCCGGGGCGTTTCCCGACCTTCCAGGTATCCCCTTGACTGGCCGGTGCGGTTCGATGAGGGCGTGGATGGGGTAGAGGATGCCGAGAATAATATTGGAGGGGGAGTACATGTGCTCTGCCGTCGGGCTGTCGGTCTGCGTTTACTCACGCCATATGCCTCACTAGATCGAACAAGCTTGCCCGCCATATCTCTGACAAGGACTGCGGGGTCGTTCTCCATGTTTCGAATAGAGTCGAGCAGACCATATGTAGCGAGTAGCCCGCCTTGCTCTTCATTTGAATCGCAGATACTGGCTATTATGCGCAGAAGGTTGAGTCGGACGGCGGCTTTGGTGTGGTGTAGCTTCTGCCTCAGTCTCTGGAAGATATCAGGCCGTGCAAATGTGGATGCGACATGAGGACTGAGCCGAAGAAGCTTTTGCAGAGGTTCAAGAGTGTTTTCGAATGCGTTAGCCTTTGAAAGCTTCAGACATTCCGCAATGGCACCAGTAAATGTGATGGGGCCCTCAAAAGTATCACTCTCGAATATGCCATCCAAGAGATGCTCTTCAACCTTGGCGGTTTCTTCTTGAAGCCTAATTGTTCAATGTCAGCTTCGCGACCAGTTACGATTCTGCATCGGGACACAAACCATGTGAAAATAGCATCCAAGGCAGTGACTTGCCAATATGGATCCAAAAGCAAAGAGATGTAGAAGCCTAGACCCTTGTTGCGCCACAGCTCCCTGCGGCCAACCTTCCCAGATTGTGCCATGTCGCAGAGAATTGGCAGGGCAAACTCTTTCAACGGGCGCTCTGTGAGTACGATCTTTTGCAGAAGTGGCACGATGCCATTCAGTGCAGCGTCTTCTTGCCGAGACTTGTTCAGGCGGCACATATTGTAGATGGTGTTCAGGATCTGGTTCGAGAGCTCGCGGAAGTGCGCTTTTTTCAGGTTTGATCGAAGTAGATCGGTCAACACATCGATAGCGTTGGAATTCTGAAGTGAATCCAGAGTAGTGGATAGCATCGACAGGTTTTTGATGAATTTCAACATAGTAATTTGATGGACAGGGCTCATTCGCCTCAGTTCTTTCAAGACTCCTTGAATCAATTGTCAGCATAAAACGAAGCAAAAGTCGGAAGACATAAAGCTTACTGTGCAAGACTGTTCGTTCAGAAACCATCTCTTTGACATGATTCTCGGCCTGCGAGAATATGAAGAAGATGTTTGCAATACGACCCTCGATTACTTCCGTCAACTCCCCATCTTCATCGAGAGCACGACTTAAAACAAGAGACAAGGGATCAAGAACGGAGTTGCGGGATAAGATTCTACAGAAATCGTTCTTGGGAGTGGAGCCCTATAGAAAAATAGTTAGATCCGAGGACGTCCAAAGTGCAATGAAGTCGAGATACTTACTTGCAACTCAAAAACACTCCAGATTCCGTTCACGCCAATCAACACCAGTTCGCGTTCATCTTCATAATCGTCCTCTAGGAACTCGACCAGGACATTCAAACCTCCGGCACTGACAAACATCTGGAGAGTCAGGGTGGAAGTCTGGTACATCTGCTGCACGAAAGCCGCAGCCTCGAGTCGAATTTCGCGTGGGTACTTCTTGGATGCAAATTCGTTGATGATGGGGATTCCGCCGACGAAGCAGAGGTTTTCCTGGACCTCATAGTCATCATAGATGATTGCGTTGACAACCCTCAACAGGCAGAAGACAATATCACGCCGGCGAGTAGTATCCAGAATCTCGAGAATTGGCAGCATGCCGTGAGCACTGATAATGATGTTTTTAGTCTCTGGAAGGTCACAGAAAATTGTGAACAATTGTTCAGAAATCTCTGCAAGAACTTCCTCGTCCTGGGAAGTCTTGAGAGAGTCCACAAGACCCTCAACTTGGTTGCGAAGACGTGCGTATTTATCGCGCGCGATATTTTCTTCCAGATCCACTTCGTCAAAGCCTTCTTCCAGTTGGGCAAAGGGATCATCCTCGTCTTCTTGGTCTCCCAGCCATGAATTAGACAGCTTCGAGTTTAGCATCAATGTACTTTGATCTGAGCCATCGTCGCTCTCTGCCTGATCTAGGGCAGCTTGATCGGCCCCAAGAATATCAGAGAAGTCCTCGTCATTTTCATTCTCAGCAAACCTCTGGATCTCAATAGTGGAGCGGTCGCGTTTCACAGAAAGCTGTTTACGCAGCTGGGGGTGCGGATTACCAAAATTGGCATCTGACTGGTTGTATCCTATGTTTTCATGAATTGGTGATGATGGATCATCCTCAAAGTCCTGGAAGAGGTTAGAAGCATATAGGGGACTCAGAAGGCTTGCCGGACTGCACCTGGTAACCACCGAGCTTTCGATCCAATGAGTCCTCATTGGCCATGATAAGATCGGAATAATCATCGATAGAGTTCTCTTTGTAGAGATTGGTCGGACGAGGAGGCGGACGAGCTCGTCGTGGCACGGGATTTTGAGTGAGGATTGGGACATTTTGCAATGCAGAAACTGGGGTACTGGATCCAGGGTGGGAGAGTGCAGGGATTTGAGGTTTGGAAGGCTCTGCCACAGAAGGATTGACGGGATATGGTCGGATGGTCTGCAGAGTATCTTCGTCGGATATGCCTGAGCTATCCTCGAATGGATCGGAATTGTCATCCGATCTGAGTATAGTCCCATCGAGTGACGCAAAAGCTTTAAGTCTCTCAGAAGAGAGCATGCCTCCAAAGTTGTCATGTGGCCGTAGATGCGGCAACTTGAGTGCGCTAGGAGAGATTGCAGTAGCAAAGTCATCGTCCCAATTATCGTCCCCTGCTAATACAGGTGAGCGAAAGCGATCGGTGGGCTTGATAGCGGTTGGTGATGGCAAGGTATCGACCAATGGATTATTTCGGGTAGATGGCAGGCCTGAAGTACTAGAGTGGTCTGGCCTCTGCTTTTTCTTTGAAGTCCCCGTTTCGGGTGACCGCAAAGCCTCGTTCCATTCTTGGACACTCTTGACGGCTTCTTCGTATTCTGTTGACTTCTTGGGAATCACAGATTCGGTTCTCCGCGCATTAACAATCCACGGATGTTTGAGCAACTTTCTTGCCGAGACTCGAAGGTTGGGGTCTTTTTGGAAACATTGCATTAGGAAATCTTTCACAGCCTAGATAAAGTCAGTATTACATGCTCATGCATGAACAATCCATCAAGACATACCGGCGAGGCACCCTGCGAAAATGGAGGGTGATCATCGTTTACAATTCGAAAGAGTGCTGGCATGGGTTGCATATTATGATAAGGGGGTTTCCCCTCGAGTAGTTCAATGACAGTGCAGCCTAGACTCCAGATATCTGAAGCCGTTGTAGCCCCTGAAAGCTCAATTACTTCAGGGGCCATCCAGTATGGTGTACCAACCACGCTTGATTCACTCAAGCCTGTGGTTCGACTAGCAACACCGAAATCTGCAAGCTTGACGAGTCCTTCCTTGGTGGTCAAAATGTTTGCGCCCTTGATATCTCGGTGAATAACACCCTGTTCATGCAAGTAAAGCAAGCCATGAAGAACCTGGGACATATATAGTCCCACCAGATTCTCAGGAAAACGACCAAAGTTCTTGGCAATGGAATGCAACGAGCCATTTTCGCAATATCTATAAACCATCAATTTCATGCCTATTTGGCCCGAGTCAGGAGAGACATACTCGAGAATGATGTTCAAAGTTTCAACGGATTTCACAAATCCGTGGTATTTGACGATGTTGGGGTGCTGCGGGGATCAATATCAGTATAGGATTCGTTGATATATTTGGCGGGGTGTCTCACATCGAGATTCTTGAGAAGATCAATTTCAAGCTGTTGTGCCGCGTGTTAGCGTATCATCGAAGACCGAGAAAGTTTGTATCCCATACCATGATAACGCGCAATTCACTCTTGGGAAGATCCGTCAGCTTGATTTGCTTGACGGCGACAGTCTCCCCAGTATTCCAATTCAACGCGCGATACACGGAACCGAAAGCGCCTTTGCCTAGGCAGTCTCCCAATTGCTACCATCAACACCCAAGATCAGTATCTGTCCAGTTCATGTTTTGCGGGGCAACAGGGCACTGTATCCATACATAGTCCTTGAGTTCCGCAACATCCTTTGCTGATGACTTTAGAACTTTGTCTTCCTTCTGTTTCTCTTCTCGCTTCGTCGGACTTGTTCCAACCCGTGTCAATCGAGGCTTTATCGGGGTTCCGGGGGTTCTCGAGGAAGGAGTGAGAGGGCGAGGCTGCCCTTCGCTCCCTTCGCCGGACCGAGCCACCATAATGCTGCGGACTAGGATCGACTGTATCCTAGTAGGTGTTTGAGCTGGCTGTCGATTTCACGATGTGGTTCGAGGTAGAGGAGAGGTGGGGTGAAAGCCGAGGAAGGAGGCAACCTTGAAAGAGCTGATAGCAACGGTCTCAAAGGTCATATCCGCAGATTCTGGCGATCGAAATTTTCAATTAGTCCGAGTCTATCAAGGTAAAAACAAGCATCATGAGTGACAGCTCGCATGCGGACGTTGTGGGGAGGGTCTCACCAGGCGGACATTACAGCACTTCAGCTCTCACGCCCTAGAGAGCTGTTTCCACGACAAGTCGAGGCGCATGCGATATCTTCAGATTTATACAAGGAACATGGAGTATTCTGAGAAATTTCGTTATAACAAAGGCGACAATAGAGCGTGAAGGGGGTTGTTCGCAAATAAATCGTGGTTGTTTTGAACTTTCGTGCTCCACCCGCCGCATCATGCAGGCTGTGCTGGACAATCGCCGATCAGCCCTACGATACCCAGGTTGACTACCTTGTTTTCTATTTGACCAAAAAAGGATATGATGAAGTGATATTCGGCAGGATTTTACTTCAAGAAAGGAGGTATAGAAAAAGAAATGAAGGGTTTGTTGTTGTCCTAGGGTTCTATTATTTACCGATATAGATCGGCGAAATTCAATCGATCTATACTGGGTATCATTTTTGGGCACGGAGAAGGCGCAACACATCGGAAACAAGGTACAAGCTACCAGCAATGACAAGAGGACCATCCTGAGCCTCCTCACTAGCCCACCGAAGGGCAGTGAGTAAATCTTCAAAGCTCTGGACTTGTCCAATATTTTGGATAGCTTGAATGGAACAGGCGAGATCTTTGGCATTGGTTGGTTGGACCCAGGGCATTCCATCCACGGGTCCAAACTCCGCAGTGGCAACCCGGTCTCCGGGCCGGATGATCGAACCAAACACCGCAGCCAGATCCTTTCCACTTGACGCGGCAACAACCCAAGTCACTGGTTGGCCTTGAATACGCATTTTGCGATCAACATACTTTCCGAGAACTTCAGCAGATTGTGCGTTGTGAGCACCATCAAGCAGGATAGGTTTTGTGCGACCAATCAACGGTTGGAGGACAATGTTTTGTAAACGGCCCGGCCATCTTACATCGGCCAGATATGGAAGCAATGAGAATGCGTCCATGTCGGGCCGTAGTTGAGAAAGGGCAAGGCGAAGCGCAGACACTGCACAGCATATGTTTTCTTGTTGGTGGGGCTCTAGATCAAGGTCTTGAAAATAAGGTGCAAGAGCCGGGATTTGTTCAGAGACCGTTGCTGGAGAGACAAACAAGGAATCAATACCCAGCTCTTGGATATGAGCCCGCACAGTTTCAACCACTTCCTGACTGTTTGTATTGTCTACCACACAAGGGACTCCGGGCTTGAGGATGCCCGCTTTTTCACGAGCAATCTCCCCAATCGTTGATCCAAGGAAAGCCTGGTGGTCCATCCCTATCTTTGTAATGACCGAGACAAGAACGTTATTCAGGATATTTGTTGCATCTAGACGCCCACCCATGCCCACCTCGACCACACCAACTTCAACTCGTTCATGGTTGAATATCTCGAACGCCGTTGCGGTCAACAACTCGAATTCGGAGGCACCGATGCCTAGGGTTTGATCGCGTAGTTTGACTTGGTCTTCGATCTGTCGGAAAAGGGATTCTTGAACCACTTTCTCTCCAATTGTGATACAGTCCCACCGATCGACTAAATGCGGGGAAGTGAAGCGGCCGCAACGCACACCACCGGCGGACAGTAAATGGGAAAGGTAGGCACTGATAGATCCTTTGCCGTTGGTTCCAGCAATATGAATGGCCTTCCATGTGAGTGGAGTCTGCTGAAGCAGGCTCGCGACCCGAGTCAATCCTAATTCGATCATTCCTGTGATTGTGACGCGATGGTAATTTTTAGGTCAATTGTCATTATTGACCAAAAGATCAGATAGTAACAGGCAGCTTCGGGACTTCAGAGCTTCATTGTCAATAGAGAAGCAAAGCCCGAATCAGCGTGGGCTACGGTAGTGTAGTCAACCTTTAGGCTTGAGCTTACCGTGATCGGAGGAGCATACTCACGTGATCCATTGCATAATGATGCCTCAGGCATGGAGCTCTCAGTGGTTTACTACAATATACCAAGTAGAGGGGCTGATAAGAGTCATCGACCAAGGAATTGTACCTAAGAAGTTGTAGAAAGTGGCCCTCTATCAATATAAAAGAAGTTGCCTACAAAAGTATTGGAGAATGTTTGTACGTGGCACGTGACCCAGCCACTCTAGCCACTCTAGCCACTCCCAGCCTCAGGCATTACCGTCTCTAAAAACCCAATTTCCTTGTCTCCATCAACCATCTCCACCGTTATCGCAAGGCGCGTTTACTAGTTCCGTAATCGCTTTTTTGTCTTTATTTGTCCTTCTTTTCCAAGCACCTTGATCTTTCCCCCTTGTTTCCTTCAAAAAAAGCAAAATGGGTATCCCGTAAGTCATACCGTCTTTATGCTGGCGCGTGACGCTCTCGCATGCGCCACTGCTTCGCGACACAATGTTGACGCTGACTTCGATATGCAGCATGTGGCGCGAGCCTTCTAAGTCCGAAGCATCCAAGTCTGCTTTAGAGAAGGATGCATCTGCTTCTGCACGCTCATCAATTCGCCGGGGACCCTCGCGGCACAGTAGCTCCCGAGCCCGCCGTTCCGACATCTTGGCTTCGTTTCATTCACAGATCATTGATGAGCTCCGACGCGGCGCCGTGGAACCCAGACGCGTACCGCGCTTCTCTCTTATACCGCCAAACGGGCCCGTCGAGAGCACAGTCACACTGGAACAGGCCGAACGTGAGGCGCTCAACTGGGCCCAGTCGCGCGCCGCGAGTGCACCCCGACAGACCGACCAACCGACAGAGACAGCCAACCGACGATTCAGGAACTATCGGGATCAAGCCTTGGCCGACCTTCTCGGTCGCATGGATGCCCAGCCCAGAAACAGTCATGTCGGCCCTTCATTGACTGCCAACTTCGCACCCGCTCTCGCATATCATACCAGCACTATCTCAACCCCTTCCGACAGCGGCGTTCGTCTCCCCCTATGCGTGACAGATACAACAGCGACAATCTTTCCAACACACAACGCCGACCAACTCGAGACCCCGTTGTAGACGGGCTTGGGGATCGCCAGCGCAGTCCCAGCCCAGACGGCGAGCGAGAAACCGATGCGTGGGAGACTTTACTCTCAACTATTACACCCGATGCCACCCTTCCATCGACTGATACTTCTTTCACCTCAACTTCTGCCGCTGGCCCGGATATTTCACGAAATGGCCGTCCTCGGAGCTCTATCACCCTGACCCAGCCATTGTCAGTAGATGCTGCCCGTGCTCACTTTGGACTCGACCCATTTCCTGACCATCTCAACCCTTGCGACTTCTCTTCCTCTGATGATGAGGATCCTTCGAGTGAATCCACCGGGCAGGCCGGCATGACTCTTTCGTCGCGACGTCCTCCCGATCAGCGTTCCACCATGAGCAACCATCCTCCCGTCTCTATCCCTACAATCATTCCTGCAAGCGTTCTCGCTCTCTCTGACGGGCGTCAACAAAGTTTCTTCTCTGACCGTCACCAGAACGATGATCTCCACCACATGCAGGTCATCCTGGATCGACTTGCCCGCCGCGAGGATATTCCCGACGACTGGTGGGCCGCAGCTGGCCTTGCCCGCACTCTCGACCGTGGCCTTAATGCAAGTATGGAATCCACCGACACCGAGGGCGTTTCTCGAACAAACGATAATTGAATATGGCCCAGGTGGTTAATACTGAATGACATGAAATTTGGCGATATTGGCATTGGCGTTTTAACGGCGAATTCTTTTCACATGGGTTTTCTATTCAAAGTCTGCGATGGCGCCGACTGTATCTTCTCAGGCTTGTGGTATGACATTCATGTATACATATTTTGTCGAAGAAAGATAAAAACAAGCATTTTTCAACTTGTAGATCAATCTGTACCTGCCAAGTCCAGTGACGTATTGCTTCGGAGGACAGCAGTCCCCACTCGAAGAGAGCCCCGCCAATATGTGAAGGAAAAGTAAGCACTCGGGCATTAGGTAGTTTAACAAATAACATCAGGTTCTGTATCAAACATCCCCTACAGTCGACGTAGGTACAACATTCAACTCGTACCACGTCTCAATCTAAAGACACGCGCCAATTCAAACCCTTTTCGGATATTTCCATTTACACTTTTGATCCCGACTTCACTAGCCTCCCATGGATCACCAGATAGACCGACTGGTCAACAAGACCTGGTGTAAGTAAACCAAGAGCAAGCATAAGCACGAAACATGCCTTTTGTCACACCACATCACCAACGCTATCACTACGTCCAAGCCGCTAACAAAGCGCCCCAGCAAAATTCTGCTCAACGGCAGACGACGCGCGCCTAATGATCGCCATCAGCGGCATCCCAGGCTCCGGCAAAACAGGCCTAGCAAAGATGATGGCAGTGCGGATTAACAAAATCTACGCCTCAGAGAACCCAACAACGTCAACACCGATAGCTATCGCCCTCCCAATGGACGGGTATCATCTGACGCGTGCACAGCTGGCCGCTATGCCGGACCCCGATCATGCGGCAGCACGACGAGGCGCGGCATTTACTTTTGATGGTGAGAAGTTCCTCGAACTTGTGCGGGCTCTGCGGGAGCCGATTACGGTCCGCACGCGTTGTCTCTACGCACCGAGCTTTGATCATGCTATTAAGGATCCAGTTGATGAGGACATCCCGATCCCGCCGACTTGTCGGGTGCTGTTCTTTGAAGGGAATTATTTAAGCTTAGATCGGAAGCCGTGGAGCACAGCTGCTAAGTTGATGGACGAGCTTTGGTTTGTGGATGTCGATTTTGAGATTGCGAGGAAGAGGTTGGTGATTAGACATGTTAAAGCGGGGATTGCGAAGGATGAGGATGAGGCGGATAAGAGAGCTCGACAGAATGATTTGGTTAATGGGAGGGAGATTGTGGATCACAGGTTGCCGGTGCAGGAGATTGTTTCTAGTATCTTTGATCCTGTTTGGGAGAAGTCATGAGTGTTTGGGCAATATTTTCACTTTGACGAGTCCTGTAATGTACAAAGTTAATACTATGCTGATATGATTGTCATGATATTGCATCTTTTCGAATCCCCGTCTTTACTGGGAGAGGAAAGGCCTCTAGTCTCAATGTTGTAGGGAATTCTACTAATTGTAGGGAATTCTGCTGAATGAGAGATCTTTACGAAGAAAAGGTATGGGCGAATTGACTATTAAAGAGAGCGGACTGGGAGAGAGAGGAAGAGGAAGAAGGAAGAGAGGTATATCTGTCTGCAAGGCCCTAACTTCATGGGTAGTTATAAGCCGTCAAACACGTCTTTGAAGACGAGCAATCACATCAATGCGCAAAGCGCATTGAATCTATGATGCCCTGCGCGTTGGAAAATTCTAGTTCCTGCATTGTCTCTCCCCACAGTCTCTCTGTGACCTGCTTGCCGTTTGGCTCATACATCATAGGGTGAAACGGATGAATGTTCCAGTTCAGCACCAGGCCACCGTGGCTCTCTTGGCCCTTTACCGCGACTGCATCCACGTATGCCCAAGCGCCTTGCTCGGTTGATCGCGCTGCAATTGAGTGGACAAGACGGAAGATGGCCCGAAGATAAGCTGGAGCATGCTGCTGTAGGCCAGAGCCCCCGACTAGTCCCGGTTCTATAGCGTTGATGGTGACCTCACTAGAATCCACGTTCTCGCTGAGCTTCTGAACCAACATAAGCACGAGTGTCTTGGTCAGACCGTACCGCTCCAATGAGGCTGCAACTCCCCAGCCCGTTGGATTGTCAAACGATGGTATGAGAGGGATAGCGTTGCGGTTGGCGAATTGGGATTGGAGCGCCAACCCGGAGGCGACTATGGTGATTCTTCCCGGGGCACGAGCTTGTCGTTTTGACTTGAGAATGGGAAGAAGAAGAATGGCCAGGAGCGCGGTGGACAGGTAGTTGACCTGAAAGGTCGCTTCGTGGCCGGTAGTTTTGTTGATGACGAAATTGCCCATGGCCACGCCTGCGTTGAGGATAACCTTGTCGAGTCGAGCCAGATTGCTGCAGCTTTTAGCAAAGTCTTGGATAGACCCGTAAGAGAGCATATCGAGCTGCCATACTTCGATTTGAGCGTCGGGGTACTGCCTGCGGAGCGGAGCAGCGGCGGCTTCTCCCTTTTCTAAGGATCGCGACGCCATAATGATGTGGGAAGCGTGATATCTGAGAAGACTGCCAACCGCAGCAAGACCAATACCGGTGTTCGCTCCCGTGACAATGGCTGTCTGCCCGGCGAGACATGTTGACAGAGGTGGTGGAGCTGGCTTTGTGAGGAATTGAGCCCTAACAAAGGCCTGCAGCGGCGAGGCCGCGGAAGGTAGAAGGGCCATTGAAGCCATGGTGATGGACGGGTTCCTCTTTGGCTCTTTACTGTATTTAGGACGTAAATAGTAGGAAGGTCGGTGAGAACGGTTGGTGGGATGGCTCTTGATTAAAGACCTTTGGGCCGTCTTTATAGACATGCCTGCGAAAAGGCATCATGTCAATGTCGTCCGAATATTGTTAGCCTGGTACCGGGAGCATCGTATAAAACAGCATCTCGGAGGAACCAAAGACCGCAATCTTGATCATTCATCATCGATACGGCTTCATCTGACTAAACTCGGATTCGGGCCATTCCCAAAAGAGCAAACAATATGGACAGTGGCTCGTGCACCAGCTTACGCCTCTCTCACTAGCGCCAAGCTCCGCAAGTCCGCTTTTTCCGGGCCTTTCCCCAAGGGGAAAACAATATGGTCGCTTGTTAGACTCCTCAATCTAGGCTCCTACACAAGGACATGTTGGGTATATAGTCTGGTCCTGCATAGACGGGACAGCCCACAGCTATTCATCTCTCCCGAATTCTCTGAGACAAGAGTCCAAATGCGACAGCATAAGTCGCTATTGGCTGAAGCAAGGTGAACTTCGGCTATGGCAACGCAATTCGCTTTTATCACGTACGACGGGGAGGACAAGCAGACATCCACTGACAGATACCAGGTCCGCAGCCACTGCATGAAGGGCCGGAACAAGCGCGAGGGATCACGCCGCTCTAAACGGGAAGCTAGACAGGCGGCCAAGAAAGTTGTCAGAACGAATGTCGACATGAGCCCTGTCCCTATTCTGAAGGGTGGACTCAGTTCAGCATTAAATTCAGCTGCATCTCGAGCAGAAAATGCAGCCATTTCTACGAAAATCCCACAGCGGGTTAAGCAAAAGCTAGAGTCGCCACGCGAGAGCCCGTGGGCTCGTCTTCCCCAGGTACCTCAAGGCTTTCTCTTTGGAGCGGCCATGGATGAATTTGCGAATGCGGTCGGTCAAACTCCCGAATCGCTGACGCGACAGTGTAAGAGCTGCCTCTTCGATTGAATCACATCTTCGACTAATCTATCTAGTCATGACTTTCAACCGCATCACAGAAGCCTCTTACCCTCTCGTCGAGGTTGTGGTTGACTTTAACGACGTAGGCTTGGGCTCCATCTGGTCGTCTTTTGACAAGTCGTTCCTCCATACTATTCTCTTTGTCAACTCAGCCGTCAACGACTGGGCGCAAAATTTGCCGCTGGCCAAGTCGTCACAGTTTCACTTGGGGAAAACGCTGACGCTACTCAACAAAAAGCTGGCAACTGGGACCTCGCATCAAGATGACATGACAATCTACACCGTCATGCTTCTGGCAGTCGTCTCTAGCACCAGCGGTGACTACAACGCGAGTAATGCGCACATGGCGGGCCTGCAACGGCTTGTAGAGATGCGAAACAACCACGGGTACCTCTGGGTGAATCCCGTCACCCAGTTCAAGCTCGAGTGCCTGGATTTGATGTGGTGTCTCATAGCAGGAGGAGCACCGTTGTTTCTCAAGACGCCCGTGTCGTGGGACCCGGTCTTTACGCGCCCGTCGCCGTCTGTTGACGACGAGCTGTCTGTGGCTCTCTCTAAGGCGTCCATGGATCGCAGGCTCATCGTCGTCTTCCAAGAGTTGCAGCGGCTCACGGGATTGATCGAAATACACACGGACAGCAATATGCGACTGAATGCGAGTGAGTTCCAGCCTGTCCTCAGCTCAATTCAGACTCGCCTGCTTCATCTCAAGGACCTTCTGGTTGGCATGCCTGATGAATGGCTATGTCTGGGCATGCTGGCCTTTCTTGCGACGATGTTCCGGGCCCCAGGACGGCAAGTGGCTTACGAGCACTTGGCAGATCGCCTCCGACGCGCATGTAGCAGTCTTGTAGAGTCAACATCAATGTCGACAAGATCTGGCCTACGACCCATCTTGCGCTGGCTAGTAATTGTCTGTGGGGCGACCATCTTTGGCACTGGTGAGCGGTGGATTCGAGAGCTCTGGGACGGCATCACAGAGCCAAAGTGGTTATGGCCGGAAACGCGAACAGAGCTCAAGCGGGTGATGTGGATCGGGTGCATCCACAATCAGAAAGGGCAGCAAATCTTTGCTGCTTTGAACCTTCGAAGGTAAAGTACTGCACATTTCATTAACATCTTGTTTCGGTTCTCCAGTATGTGCTCATGAAAACTACAACAGCCGATCGCCTGAGACACAGGTGCTCCGGTAAACCAAACATATTGGATATCTCAAGGGAAAGAAGACACCAAAAAAGATAGCCACAGTGGGATTCGGCCTAAACTTAAAATACCACATAAAAGCCCACTGCCACTGCCAGTAAAGGCAATCAGGCCAATGAAGACTTTGTCCCATTATCCCGTTGTGTTGCCAGCCGATCCTAAATTGGCTATCAAATCTTATGACATAGAATTTGTTGAAACTTGAGGCAGTTGACAACCGAGACTTCATCAGATATATCTCAGGCTCAATTGAGAGAATCTTCCTTCTTTTAAATCTCAACGCCTTACGGCTCGTCGGGGCATCGTTTCTTCCTTGACAGTGTGATATGATTAGTACGCCAAGGTGCCATTTGGTTTCAGAACTAGTCCATTTCAATGTTGCAATTTCTCAGCTCATGGACAGGTGTAATTAACGAGGAGGGAATTAGTCACCGCTCATGACTAGCGAGGTAGAGCTGGAGATATATCGTTGCGCTATTTCCCCTGTCTTTTACAACTATGCTTTTCTGCGCTTTATCCTCATTTGGATATCCGCCGAACTCCAAGTATTAAGATGTGAGCCGCAACTTTGTCGCAGCTACGTACGGCGTTTTGATAAGACACGTTCGTTGTTGTGGTGCTGCAGCACAATACGGATAGATCTGGCTATGGATGCCCATAGTACTCATGACCTTTGGGTAAGGGTGATTAGTAGACACCAACACAATAAGATTGTTGTGCTGTATGCGTACATCTTATTGTTTTTTTACCTTTAATTTGCTGTTTATCTAGAAGTACGGAGTAACTGAAGCTATTAATAGAGGTCGAATCCTCTAATCCCTTTCTGGATTAGCCACTAAGACACCTAAAATTAATGGGGGAAAAAAGGAAAACTGTCTTACCTAGGATGTTACAGAATACCCCTAAGATGAATATTTTTCCAATATAACTCCAGTAACACAATGGTCATTTTATTCACTCTCATAAGAAACATACAATGTCTGGGGGATAGGTCCCTGGAGCTAATCCACTTTCGGAACCGATGTGCGAGCCATGGGGAATAAGATACCTGTACTAGGATAACATGTACTGTAAAGTATAGTCAATACTGCATACACACTAGTGGAGTACCTCTCTGTCAGGACCTTAATGTAATCTAACAGACCCTGACCCCCCGTTGTTTCCAGATTGGACGAAACTGCGGTTGCCCCGAGTTCTTTCCCCCGTTTCCGTTTCTTCTGGTCGAGACCTTATCATCCTTTCCAACTCCGTCACTCTTTGTCTTTCACCCTACGCTCTTTAGCCCACACACTCTTTTACTCTAGACTCGCTGTGCGATCTTGAATCCAATCCTTTATCCAATTTCTCAGTCAATCTTTTTCATCATGCTCTTCAACAAGTCCATCTTCGCCGTTGCCGTTGTGGCTCTGGCTAACGTCGTGACTGCCACTACCGTGCAGACCCCCGCCTGTGTTCTTAAGATTATCGGGTAGGTTTGAAGGAATGGAAAGAACGTGGAATCATGAGCTGATGACATCTAGCAACCAACCCAACCCGGCCGACTCGAAGACTATCTGCGGCTCGAATGCCAGCAAGATCCAGGCCGATATCTCCAAGAACTGTGCCGACAGCGAGGCCTCCCTGAAGTTCTTCACCAGCAACTGCGCCCAGCTCGGCCACAAAGTTGGTAAGGATTAACACATCCCCGAGAGCGCATTGCATGATTGACTCAGTTACTTATCATATCCTCTTTAGTGTCTGTTTCCACTACCTCTACTGGTACTTCTGAGAGCTCTACTGCCACTGGCTTCGTCACCGCTGCCTCCTCTGGCACTGCTGTTTCCGCCACCAAGACTGGTTCCTCCGCCGCCACTGGCACTGGCACTGGTTCCAGCTCTGCCGCTACCGGCACGGGAGCCAGTGCCAGTGCTGGTACTGGTACCGGCTCCGGTAGCGCCGCATCCCCTAGTTCGACCTTCAACGCTGCTTCGTCCGATCGTCAGTTCTCCGCGACCACCTTTGTTGCTGCCATCTTCCTCGGCGCGGCTGCTTTGCTGTAAGAACCTAGCATTACCTGCGAACACCCCCCAAAGCGAATATCGATGCAAAATGGATCACTAGCCTTGACTTTGCTGCCTTCGATCTGGATTGCATCATCAATGTTCAGGGATCTGGTTCGAATTCTTTAATATGTCGTTGCTCGTCTGATGCCAATATTTCAATCCCTTGAGCTTTTATCTTCTTATTTGCCAAAATCACATTGATTTCTATGCTCTTTATCTTCCCACAGTGTCTCTTGAAAACTTCTAGGCTTCCCTTAATTGTGAATCAGTCTGTCAATGTAGACAGATCCAAATGAACCCAATCAAGGATCCAAATTATGCTATTACGTCCCCCTTGTAAAAGAGAAAGAACAATCTACACAAGGTACTGCTAAGATCATCCTCTCTTGGCCCCGTGATCGAAAACAATGTACAGTAGATCCATCACATTGATGCGTAATGCAGTAAGGGCCCAGCATTGAGATCGAGCCTCGCGGTGTTGCATATGATATTGACTAAGAAATGGTGGGTGAACTTCAAGCTACTAAAAAGCACCTCAACCTAGCAATGACATTGGAAGATCTTCTGGGCCCGGAATGCTTCAGGCCACTCGGCGACAATGCTTCCGATAGCATGGCATCCATGCGCGACCTTTCGCGTGTTCACGTGACCATTTACAACCTGCAGTTTTGCTGCAAGGCCATTCTCACCGCCCATTGTGTATCCATACCGCCTTCTGTATTTCAACTAGTACACCCACGCTAACGTCAGTAGTATGAATACGCTAACTGCAAACGGTATAGAGTGGTGTTTTCTGCCCGGCAAGATGGTAGTTCAGAAAGGAAGGTGGAGCCTCCCTGTTGGTAAGCTGAAAAAACGCGGGCACGCGAGACAACGCGTCCACTCGGCAACCAAAGATTCCTCTGCCCCTCTGATCTCTTCTTCTTCTCACACCCCTCTACGGGCTTCATACATTCATCTTGTCCCCCTTTCTCTATACTCTAATATCTCAATTCTCCTGTGATCCTGATACCCCTGTTTACTTCTTTCTATCTTTTTCGAGCCCCTATCAAAACCATCACTATTCGAAATGTTCGTCTACAAGAGAGGTAAGTCCATTGCATGATCATCTGGTATACAAAGGTATCGGTGGCGAGATATAGCTTCTGCTCCTTTATCTTGCCACAGCCACCTGGGTTTGCCACAATTCTCGGATCGAGGGCTAATGTGAATCTCAACTGCAGATGGACGCAAGGAACGCGTGCAGTTCGACAAGATCACCGCACGTGTATCGAGGCTCTGTTATGGCCTCGACCCTGAGCACGTTGATGCCGCAGCCATCACTCAAAAGGTCATCTCTGGTGTCTACCAGGGTGTTGGTACCATTGAGCTAGATAACTTGGTATGTTCGCTTCTATACCCACGATTTGTGACATTGAGTTAACATTCCAATCTCAGGCTGCGGAGACAGCTGCATACATGACCGTCACACACCCCGACTATGCCATTCTGGCTGCACGCATCGCCGTTTCGAACCTCCACAAGCAAACCAAGAAACAATTCTCCATGGTCATCTCTGATCTCTACCACTATGTGAACCCCAAGAACAATAAGCCTGCTCCTATGATCTCACAGGAGCACTACGAGATTGTTATGAAGCATGCCGAGGAGCTCAACTCGGCCATTGTGTACGACCGTGACTTCAACTACAACTTCTTCGGATTCAAGACCCTCGAGCGTTCATACCTTCTTCGGATTAACGGTAATGTTGCTGAGCGTCCCCAGCACTTGCTGATGCGTGTTGCTGTCGGAATCCACGGTGAGGACATCGAAAAAGCCATTGAGACATACCATTTGATGTCCCAAAAGTTCTTCACTCATGCCTCCCCACACCCTGTTCAATGCCGCTACTCCCCAACCTCAGCTTGCATCTTGCTTCCTGGTTGACATGAGCGCGGACAGCATCGAAGGTATCTACGATACTCTCAAGACCTGTGCCATGATTTCCAAGACCGCTGGTGGTATCGGTCTTAACGTCCACCGCATTCGCGCTACTGGTTCTTACATCGGTGGAACTAACGGCTCCTCCAACGGTATTGTTCCTATGCTGCGTGTGTTTAATAACACCGCCCGCTATGTGGACCAGGGTGGTAATAAGCGTCCTGGTGCCTTTGCCATCTACCTGGAGCCGTGGCACGCTGATGTCTTCGAGTTCCTTGATTTGCGCAAGAACCATGGTAAGGAGGAGGTTCGCGCCCGTGACCTTTTCTACGCTTTGTGGACCCCCGATCTTTTCATGAAGCGCGTTGAGGCCAACGGTGACTGGACCCTCTTCTGCCCCAACGAGGCCCCTGGCCTGGCTGATGTCTACGGTGATGAGTTCGAGGCCCTCTACGCGAAGTACGAGCAGGAGGGCCGTGGCCGTAAGACTATCAAGGCCCAGAAGCTTTGGTACGCCATTCTTGAGGCCCAGACCGAGACTGGTAACCCGTTCATGCTCTACAAAGATGCTTGCAACAAGAAGAGCAACCAGAAGAACCTGGGTACTATTCGCAGCTCTAACCTGTGCACCGAGATTGTTGAATACAGTGCCCCTGATGAGGTGGCTGTCTGCAACCTGGCTTCCCTCGCACTTCCCACCTTTGTCGACTCTGCCCGAGGAGAGTTCGACTTTGGCAAGCTCCACGAGGTCGTGCAGGTTCTCGTTCACAACCTGAACAAGATCATTGACATCAACTACTACCCCGTTCCTGAGGCGAAGAAGAGCAACTTCCGTCACCGCCCCATCGCTCTCGGTGTCAACGGCCTAGCTGATGCTTTCCTGGCTCTGCGTCTGCCCTTCGATTCCCCCGAGGCTAGACAGCTCAACATCCAGATCTTCGAGACCATCTACCACGGTGCCTTGACTGCTTCCACCGAGATTGCCAAGAAGCTCGGTACCTATGAGACCTACCCTGGCTCTCCTATCTCGCAGGGCATCCTGCAGTACGACATGTGGGACCGCACCCCCACCGATCTCTGGGACTGGGCTCCCTTGAAGGCCAAGATTGCCGAGCATGGTGTCCGCAACAGTCTGTTGGTGGCTCCCATGCCTACTGCTAGTACCAGTCAAATCCTGGGTTTCAACGAGTGCTTCGAGCCCTACACCTCGAACATCTACTCCCGCCGTGTCCTGGCTGGAGAGTTCCAGGTCGTCAACCCTTGGCTCCTGAAGGATCTGGTCGACCTCGGCCTGTGGTCCGATAACATGAAGAACCGCATCATCGCTGAGGGTGGCTCCGTCCAGAACATCCCCAACATCCCCGCCGATATCAAGGCCCTGTACAAGACCGTCTGGGAAATCTCCCAGCGCAACATTCTGCAGATGGCCGCCGACCGCGGTGCCTTCATCGATCAGTCGCAATCCCTCAACATTCACTTGAAGGAGCCCACCATGGGCAAGCTCACCAGCATGCACTTCGCCGGCTGGAAGATGGGTCTGAAGACCGGCATGTACTACCTGCGTACCATGGCCGCCTCCGCCCCCATCCAGTTCACTGTCGATCAGGAGCAGCTCCTGGTTGAGGATACCAACATCGCTCGCTCCAAGAAGCGTACCGGTGCCACCGGTGCCTCCGCTTACTCGGCTATTCCTCGTACTCACAGCGCCGAGGCCGTTACCCCCAAGGTCATGGCCCCTGTTGAGGAGACACCGCGCTCCGTCGCCGCGCCTGTTGCTGCTCCTGCTGTCGAGCCCAAGGCCAATGACGTTGACGCTGACGCTGAGCCTCAAGATGCCGAGAGTAGGGCCGCGGAAGGCGACATCTTCTCTGATGCGGTCCTGCAGTGCAGCATCGAGAACAAGGATGCTTGCATCATGTGCCAGGGTTAAGCTTCTCTGTCTTCGATAATTTTTGGATGTTTTCCCTTTGAGTTTTGTGCATGGTCATGCCTTCTGTTGTGGCTTCTCACGTGTACCCATATTATGATTTTGATGGACCTTTTTTTTCCTTTGTGTTTCGGCGTGGGCTCATGATATTTCCTGGATTTTCTTATTATTACTTCAAATAACGTGTCATTAATTCCTCCCTTGTAGTGTTTATTAGGCCAAGTGCAGATACAGTTGCTGTACAGGACTAGACTCATCCTTGAATATTTCAAGCTGTATCATACACTTTGCCTTACGATACTCATCCCTAAACGTGCAACCCGCCTCTGGCACCAGCCAGGCCTTCAAAAGGGAAACACTAACGGCCATTTTTTTTTATCTACCGGGACAGTAAAACTGATCAATCAAAGATCAAACGGCTTTCAACGGCTTTCAACACCTCCGTCATTAGATACTTCTGCATTAGTTTAAGGGGGTCCTCGAGAAGCCGCGCTCCATAAATCTCTTCGTTCTTTTCTTCTTGCCACTCACAAACATAAATTACAGGAGAGATGCATGCGATGATGACACACAGTCGTTGACAGTACAATTTGCTGCCAAGGTGCTAGGTCAAATCCCCACCACGGCAGTGGTTGTATGATTTCTGTTGGAGCGGAGGTACTTACCTTTAATTACCGTAGAGAGCTCCCTGCTCCATTGTGATATCTCCAGGAATGACATCCAACACATCCACATCGTCCCACGTCGCATGAACAGTCCGTTCCCCCTTCAGGATACGGTTGATATTGAGCATTGTGCTATACATCACCCCCGAGCTGGAAAAACCTCCTTGCTCACCAGTCTCATCATTGATATCGGATGTTTTTGCCTTTGGTCCTGCCTGGCGGAAAGCGCCGGTGATTGATGGGAATGGCGCAAAGCACCGCAAATAACCTTTGCCGCACATTCGCCCCAGCGAGACGTCAAACTGGGCACCGATATCAATCTCCTCCGCCAGACCAGAAGGGTTGACCGATAGGGCTGCGAGAATTCGTTGCGCACCACGGTAGCTCACGGCATAGAACATTGAGCAGATTGCGTCACTTGCTGTACACACAAGTCGACTGTGATCGGGTCTCTCGTGTCCCTTGAATATCGGAGAATCACGCCACAGCGGGCGAAAGTGATGGGGCATTGGGATAGTCGGGTCGTTTGGGGTAAGGTAAAATGGCAAATCAGTTTTACATGACACGCCACAGTGGCCTATCCATAAAATGTCCCAGTCGTCGCCATATGGTGACTGGGTTGGGACTTTCTGGGTATCCTTAAGCTGGAGGGCTCGGACTGCGTGAGCGAAACTCTGAAGCTGGACTTTTATTGATACATCCCAGTCGGTGTCGTCTTCCATAATCATAGCGCTTGCTAGTCTCTCCTGGACAATTCTAGGAGATAATTAGTGTTCAAGGATCAAATATGGAAGTTTCAATCCACAAACCGCTGGAGTCCATTGACATGCGCCCGTCGGGCAGCGTACTCGGTTTGTTTACGGTCATGATTCCAGTTCTGGAAAGATCAGTCACTGTGGGTATGTAACGCCGGAAAACATACATATGGATAGGATTTACCGTTTATTTCATCCGGAGTCACACCGTCGATCCATTCGACGTGGAAATTACTGACTGATGATCCCAGAACGATATTGTCCCGCTTGTCAGGCCGGCTGACGAGGTTAATGGCGAATACTTTTTGAACCTAAATAGACATAAGCTAAAGTATCTCTAGGGGAAGCTCGAGCTAGAATCATTACCCCAAGGGTTTCGTTTCCGATGTCGTCGGAGGTATCCCAATCATGGTCGCTCCATACCTCCTGGGTGGGGGCGGTTGCCCTGTGAGTGCTTGGTCGTAGCTGGACGAGGATAAAGACAACCACGAACACGACCAGCAGGAATTGCACAAAGCGTAGCCGTGACGCAGAAAACGCCATCCTTTGTTGTCATCGGGATAGAGACAATAGAACACGTTGACCATCCTAGACGTGCAGGAGGTCACTTCGCATCTGACATAGGCATGGTTGGTCGATACATTTTAGGTCTCCACCGTGCACCCGAGTCGGCCTCGGTTCATGTAAGACGCTATGACTTGGGCAGCGTTAGCCGGGCCTCAGTCATTGTCGGCACGGCCGGAGGACACTGGATTTTTCTGATACATATGACACACACTAGCGTGAAATGATCCTTGAGGTGTTGTCCTCGCAGGAACGAAGTCCCTGTTGGTAGTCAAACGATTTTCCCTTTCAGGTGTTTGGGATTCGCAGTCTGGTCATGGTGGTCCCCGGTGGTCTGGTAGATCTCGCGATGTATGTGGGATGTATTTTTGCACGGATTTCCTCCTGGGTTAGCTTAATCTTCTAAAGTTTTCTTTGTATGACAGTCATTCTCGGAGAAGAATTTGTCACATCTGATGAAGGCTGCTGCTCTTGCTACTGATCTTTCCCATTGGTATTCGGAGCCTGTCTCTCTTCCTGCACGAGCACAGGTTGAATCACCCAGAGAGGATTAAACAGGAGCAGGCCTGCATTCGCAAGGCATGTTGGATTTTACAAGAGATTTGAAGACTTCTTGGCGAACTCAGGATTTGGAATGTTGCTTTTCATGGTATATCGCCATTTGGTGATGTACTCAAAAACGTTGACGACTTCGCCAGATCGGGGGCTGTGCTAAACGCCCAAAATAGGAAGTTGCAAGTCTAAGCTTCGTATCCTCGAGATGAAAACCTGTTTCATCCATATTATCGGTCGCGATATATTCAAGCTTCCCCTAGACAAGTCAACAACTACGTTTGATTCGATGGGATCCCGGGCAAGCTGCATGCTTCATAGTTCAGTCTTTTTTTTTCCCTCCCTGTTTTATTTTCGCCACCCACAAACAGCTATCTTCCGTTTGGTTTATTTTTTATTGTTAGGGCATTGATTGTGTTTGCCATTCACATAAGGAAAAATGTGATTTTAGGAACAAATAATCTCCTCTTTGTGCTTCCAAGAGTTTTCTTTGATCTCACATTCCGCAGATTGCATTCCTTCAGTCCGGGCCGGGATCTGGGATCTGGGATCTAGAATCTTCCATATTAAGATCCAACGAAGAATCCATAGATTGACATGCCATCTTTGCCTAGATCCAGGCCTTTCGTATTCTAAGACAATGGCAATAATCGCTCTACTTAGCAATGTCACATAATAGTTGATACTTGCATAATACTGCGTACAATTCGAAGTGCAACCCTAGTTCTAACCCCATCATTTTCTTCACTGCAATGTATATGTGTATGCCGTCGAATCATGGTCATCCAACCCTGTTCCGGGGAGATCTTCGGTCAAGTGGAGTAGATGGGAGTGGACGAAGAAAAATGCAGGAGTATGAGATGCCTGATTCCCGACTTTGTACCATGTAATTTGGTTTATTGGTGCCACAGGGTCTCCCTTCTCGGGAAGAAGACGGTTAGGTCTGAAATACACCGATACTGGTAGTCAGAGCTCTAGGTGTATTTTGATCGCTGGGAACGTAGTCAGCACCCTGATCGGGCTCCCGGTATCAGTTATGTAGGTCCTGTTAGAGATTTCAAGGATCCGGTGCGTGCCCTGTGCCCTGCATTTTGTATCTTGGGGCTTGGAAGAGGGGTTGCGACAGAGACAGATGAGACCAAGTGAAGAGTTTAGATTCTGAAACTGATCAATACACTCTATCTATACATATACAGGCCCTGATCTTGTATATGGTGTCTATGGTATAGTGACATAGAGATCTCAGAGATCGGCACTATCATCCCACTAAAAAAAAATCAAAACGGCTCGAAAACCTAGACCCAGTCCAGACCGCAGTGGAGAGGATTAAATTACCTGTATGGGGTACAATAAATACAAGTAAAACAACCCTACTCTGTAGAGGCCCCGATCCCAGCTGGATTGGCTTAAAGGTCGTCTTTGTCTTACTGTGGCATTGTCCAATGGCATGGACGCGTTACAATACGCACATGTCAGACTTTGCAAAGACAGTATTCTGACCAGTCCTTCCCTGGGGTGCATTGCGCACCAGAACGTCATTTGCAAGGCGACTAAAGAAAGATGCAAAGAGATCTTCATGCATTGAGACATGAAAAAAATCCACATACAAAGAGCGGATATGGTATCCCCCCAGGAAGAAAAGAAAATAGGAAATTAACGGGACTTTCGCTGATAGGTCGACTGGTCAGGTACCAGAGGCAAAACATGTGGGTCGTGTCCCCATAGGCTCCCGAGGTCGTTGGATCGGCTGAAGCCGGTCTATGCCCAGAGGAGATTAGGGCCAGGAGCAAAATGGTTTGTGGTGGCGCACAAACCCCTGGTCTTTTCCTGTTCCAATAAGGATCGACCGGGCTGTCCGGCTCAGGTACCAAGGTGTGATATTACCAACCGTCCTCTGTGCTCGAGGATAACATTCCAAAAGACTCCGTAAGATGACCCGTAAGATACCTAGATACGAAAATGAATGAGCTGTCCATGGTCCGGTACGGATCGTGGCTTCATTTGGACCATGGGTTTGGTAGGGGAGTGGGTACCTAACCTTGCAAAGTGGGCCATTTTTCCTTCTTTTGTGCCTATTGGTATTTTTATAAAGTCGAGACTTTCCCTTCTCTTTCATCTCCCTCCGTCCATTCCTTCCTTTTTGAACACTCACGTTCCTTTCGAGTGCCCATTCCTGCTGTGCAGTTGATCAATCCTTTAACCAACGTCACACACACCCTCTTTGAAATTTACACTCACAATGGCTCCTATCACCAAGACTCTCGCCCTTGTCGGCGCTTTCTTCGCCTTGACCGGCTACTCGGCTCCCGTCGCCAAACGCGCCGTCGTTTGGGAGACCGTCACCGATATCGTCTGGACTACTGTCGATGTCACCGTCACCGTCTACCCTCAGGCCACTCACACCGCTACTGTCGTCCCCGTCGTCGCTAACGCTGTCACTACCACTGCCGCTGCTGTCCAGCAGGAGAAGGCCGCACCCACTACCACTTCTTCTGCTACCACTTCTTCTACCACCACTTCTTCTACTACCACTTCTTCTACCACTACTTCTTCTACCACTACCACTGCTGCTGCTGCTCCTACTGCCGAGGCCGTTGTCAAGGAGCAGGAGAAGGTTGTGCCCACCACTACCTCCTCCACTGCCGCTCCCGCTCCCACCGTGGAAGCTTCTTCTGCTCCCGCTCCCGTCGTTGAGGCCGACTCTACTGCTCCTGCTACCAGCCGTACCACCAAAAAGGAAACCAACACCGAAACTACGGGAAGCAGTGGCCACACTGGCGCCTGCTCAGAGAGTTCCCCTTGCAGCGGTGAGATCACATTCTACGACACCGCCACTACCAGCACCAACCCCAGCTCCTGCGGCACTACCAACGATGGTACCGTTGAGAACGTTCTCGCGCTGCCCCACGGTATCATGACCGACAGTGATTGCGGCAAGACCGTCACCATTACATACAATGGCCAAACCGCTACCGGTATTGTGGTTGACAAGTGCATGGGCTGTGACAACGGCTCCGTCGATCTGTCCCGTCACCTCTTCGGCCAGCTCGCGTCCATGGACAAGGGCCGTGCTGATGGTGCCAAGTGGTATATCCACTAAGCGTTGCTCGACCGCATGTTGGTATTCATGGTCACGAGCATGAACATGAACAATGGACACATCTCTGGTAGATTGCATGGGCGGATATGGTCTTGACGACTCTTCCCTCTTTTTTTTTCCTTCTTCCATTCACTTTACAGTGGTCTTTTCCCCCCTTCTTTCCCCTCTCTTCGAAAACACAATCATTCATCATTCGGAGAGACCGGGCCCTTTTTCTTACATTTCGTCCACTCCTTTGACCCTGGATCTTTTTACCATTTCGCGTGTCCCTAGCGGACCGCATCCACATTTTACCCATTTTCTTCATGTTCATAGAATCTTCTTCTCTTCGGAGTCTTCTTGTGCAATACCACCCTATGATGGACCCATTTGGCCACAAGACATATGCTTATGATCCCTACGCGCATGCTGGCAAGTCATGAACGGTTTGACTCTCTTGATGAGATCTCGAACATGCAAATGCGACAGGGCAATTATGGTTACGATGATATGCTCGTCAAACGAAGAAAACCAAAAAAAGGGGTTGACATACTGCAGAAGACGAATCATTGAATGCACTTCGTTTCGTTTTGACACGTGTTTGTCTTTCTCCAACAGTTTCTCCAGTAATTGTCCTAGTACTCCGTACAATGTACGTAGTAGTATTGAGTAGTATTCAGTTACCACAACTATGTACAACATGCTCCGTAGTGTTGCCCCTTTCCGCTTTGAGACTCATCCACCCAGAAAGGGAAAGGAACTACAGCAACGCAAGGCTAGTGACTATATTGGTCCATGCTGAGACAGCTGCGCCTCACTTCTCACTTCGGTTGCTGAATAGCGGGCCTTCATCTCCAGCCAAATCAGGCTATGCAGCGAAGTTAATTTGTGTTGATGTCTTAAATTTGGATCGGCGGTGCTCTGGCGATCTCTATGTCTTGCCCGTCTATAGTCTAGCCCTGAACCCCATCCTATCATCAACAATTAGATACATAATCCTGCTCAATCGAACACCACACCATTCCTCAACGTTCCAATCCCATCAATAAAAACATCCATCTGTGTTCCAGGGACAAGGTACTTCGGGGGTGAAAGACCAGCGCCGACACCTAACAAGGAATCGAGTTAGCTCGACCAATTCTATCCCAAACAAACAAACTAAAAGGAAACAAAACTCACCACCTGGCGTTCCTGTCATGATAACACTGCCCTTCTGCAACGTCGTACCCTGCGAAAGGTACGACACCAGATATGCGCAATCAAACAAAAGATCTGCAATATACTCCTCTTGCCTAACCTCCCCATCAACAATCGTCTTCAACAGCAGCTTACTAGGATCAGCAATTTCGCTCGCAGCAACAAGACATGGTCCTAGCGGCGCAAACGTATCAAATCCCTTGGAGAATCCCCATTGCGGCACTCGTCCCGCAAGCTCCGGGTTACGCTGCAGCTTGCGCGCTGAGATGTCGTTCCCGACTGTGTAGGCGGCTACATACGAAAGCGCATTCTCCGGAGAGACGTTCTTCGCATCGCGCCCGATAATCATGCACTATTGGCATGTGTTAGCACACTGGATACCAGGGCAGACATTCATAGATCTTGGAATAGGGAGCTTGTCGTACCAGCTCGCCTTCGTAATCTGCCTGCGAGTCCTGGGCAATCTGCGGGATTGCTACTGGTGCGCCGTGGTCATGGACTGTGGTGTTTGGCTTGAAGAAGATGAATGGGAATGGGGGTGGGGTGCGGCCGGCTTCTTTGACTGTAAACACAATGGGTATTGTATTAGCCACTGCTCCTTGGGAGTGTTTTGTCTAGTGAAAATAGGAAAACATACTATGCTTCGCATAGTTCAGTCCAACACAGCGCAAAATAGGAACATCTGCCTGCGCCAACGGACCTAGCACGGTCTTCACGGAGACGGTCTCATCGGTGACGCGTGTTTTCCCCGTGGTGTCGTAGAGGTCGTCGCCGGAAATTACACGTGCTTGCAGCTTGTCTGACTCGGTTATAAAGCCCAGATCTGTTGTTGGCGTGGGAAGAATTGGCTCGCCGCGCAGGGTACGGCCGTCTGTGGCGATGAAGCGGATTAGGCGTTTCCACGGAAGAGACATGTTCTCGGATGTTTTATTGGTCTTGTTTGTTTAGTGAGATTTGGCTAATGGAAGGGCATTATTTCCAGGAGTTGAGGGGTTATATGGCTCTTTACTGTCGTTGTGCCGGGGATAGATCGGGTAGACCGGGGTTGTCGGGTGTAGTTCCGGGATGGGGTCATGGTTCAGGTCGAGGGGTGTGAGTGGCTAATCGAATGAGAAATGAGAGGATGTAGAGGAATTAGTATGTGACTAGTATGATCTGTCGGATTGGTGGATATACGAACTAGAATTTTCTTAAACTCGGGCGTCTTTGGTGCAGTCTTTAGTGACAAGACTGATATTGATAAAGAAAAGGAAAAGGAAAAGCATGACGGATCCAGCACTGCTTTACAGAGAGAGCGAAAAGAGCTTGGAAGATTAGAACACAGTATACATCAGAATTATCGTTGGTAGTCACCCAAAAGGAAAGTTGTATATTCTCTATGGAAACAGCATCTTCTACAATTCTGACTCCCAGGCTCGATCAATCTCTTGCTCGGCATCATATCCATAACACCACATCTGGGTGGCTGGATCACTCCACTGGTTAGGACTGTGACTGAAAGGCAACCCCAAAGTCTCGGGCTTCATAGCTCCATCACGAGCTTCCTGGAGTGGTCCATCGGCGAAATGCCATAGCTTTCCATTTAGCAGACTTGCCTCCTGCATCATTCCAGCTCGCTCAATGCGAACCTTTTCGAAAATATCCAGGGCTTTGGGGATGTCTGCGGGATTCTCGATTCTGGACAGAGAGCGTGCGAGTGCCGCGCCGTCTTCGACGGCCATTGCCGCGCCTGTGTGGTTTAAGTGACTGTTGATGTGAATTATGGGGTTTTACTTACCCTGTGACATATAAGGTAGCATTGCATGTGCTGCGTCTCCTAGGATCAACACCTTGCCATTAACCCAGCGAGGTAAAGGGACTCCACTGATCAGCGGCCATTTGATGGTTTTTTCGATGAGTCCGATAATCTTCTCAAGTCTGCAAATATCTTAATGAGGATACACAAAGTGCAAAATCTTCCTGGCGCTCATACCGGGTATCCCATCCTTGAAACTCGCGTCTCATGTCACTGAGAGTATTTACCTGATCCCAGGTTGAAGGATCACTGTCATCTGGATGAGAAAGAACCATGTTAAAGGACTTGCCGGCTCCGATTGTGTATGTCATTACGTGCCGCTGATCACCAATCCTAGCGCATTGGTCAGTTTAGTCGCAAAGATCTCACCATGCTCGTGCTAACCAAATATTGAGAGCTGGCTTTTCCAGAAGCCAAGCAAGATCCGGGTCTTCCTTGATGCGCTCCACGTCCACAGTAGCTCGGTAGGCTGCGAACCCGGTCTTCTCGAACGATGGCTTGCCACTCCCATCGAGTGTTCCACGAGCAATTGATTTGACCCCTACGAGACATCAGAGTCCGTAATGTGTATGTTCAGAACGTGGGGATATATACCGTCCGCAGCAACGACCAAATCAGCCGAGACAGTTTCACCGTTCCCAAGAACGATACTAGGTCCCTCGACATTATACTCAACAACCCGCGAAGCAACCTTGACCGTGACACCCAGATCTAAGGCGCGTTTATACAGTGCGGAATGGAAATTTGCGCGATGGATCACATAGTACGGTGCCCCGAATTCTTTTCGGAAGTTTGGGATCAGTTGAGTCAGTCCGATGACATCTCCTGATTGCCAGCGTCGGAAAGAAATGGACCCGGGCTCGGTCACATACTCTTTCAGGTATGGGTCCAGGCCGAGTCTGCTCAGGAGACGAGTTGAGTTGGATGGAATTTGGATCCCGGCACCAACCTGAGGTAGGTGATCAGCTTTGCTTCACATCAATGGAAGAGAGCTTTAGTACTTCTCCGAGTTTCTGCGCTTGCTCGTAGACGGTCACGGTGTGGCCCGAACTTGCAAGCGCGATGGCTGTTGCTAGTCCGCCGAGTCCGGCGCCTACGACAATGATGCTTAGATGGACCTGTGCAGGGATTGTCTTTTCAACTGCCAATGAATTATTCAAAAATTCAAGGCAGTTGCTAGGGTATGTTGGGGTCTATTGATCCATTAATGTTTGGATTTCGATTCCTGGATGAGGAACTCACCTTCAAGGACACCCGAGGGACATGGCCATTGGCTAGACCATTGGACACCATCTTGCTTACGGTCACTTGCTTTGTCTCACAGAGAAAGAGTTGGAACTCATCACCGCATATCGTCGGATCACCGCCTTTATGGCCCCTCAGCTTGGAACGCACCGGGGAAGACTATCCGATCTTGCCCCGGACCTTACCAAGAGCAGTCGATCCTACCAAAGTGTTCAAGATATATTTGAAGGATCATTTCTCCATAGATTCTAGACAATTAAATCCAAAGATCTTTCTGATTATCAAAACGATCCCGACAATGGCTTCAACTCAAGTGGAAAGTGTCGTTGACACAGAAGAGCAGCTTCTCGCAGACCTCGAGGCGAGCAAGACCCTCCCTCTGTGGAAGCAGATGGCCCGTCTGAACCCTCCAGCGCCAAACCCAACAACAGTCCCAAATGTCTGGAAGTACAGCGCCATCAGACCTAACTTGGAGCGTGCTGGAAAGCTCGTTCCAGCAGCCCAGGCTGAACGCCGGGTGCTGATGCTCACCAACCCAGCTCGGGGTATGTACAAAGCTATACTTCGAGTTTGCATTGATTATACCTTTTATGTACTATACACTGCGTGTTACTGTTTCTGACCTTTTTATCAAAGATGCCCCATTCACTACCGATACTCTCTACGCTGGTTTGCAGCTAGTGATGCCAAATGAGACCGCACGCGCTCATCGACACACAGCCTTTGCCATGCGCTTTATTATTGAAGGCCAGGGTGGGTTTACTGCTGTCCATGGCCGACGCATCACAATGCAGCGCGGAGATGTTATCCTCACCCCGACTTGGAACTACCATGACCACGGCAAAGATGGTTCTGGACCTATGGTGTGGTTGGATGGACTGGATTTGCCCAACTTCAGACACTTCCCTGTGCACTTTGTAGAGCACTTTGATAAGCCCCGTTATCCTGCAGAAGATGTTGACAGTACTACTTCGCCGTTGGTTTTCCCGTGGGTTACCATGAAGGCGCAGTTGGATGTGGTTGCTGGGGATTGGGCTACTAAGAGATACTTGAAGGAGGATGGACGTGAAGGTATGTAGTTCCGCTTTTATTGCTTGACTCCACAGGTGAAAAGATGCCTAATGGTTTTCATAGTGAGTCGTGTCCTTGGAGGATGTGCCGAGCGGATTTCGGCATCTAAGGCTTCGCCTTCCCGGCGAGAGACGACGTCCGCTGTCTATCATGTCATCACTGGCAAAGGACGCTCGATTATTGATGATAAGGAATATGCCTGGGAGCAGGGTGATACTTTCTGTGTTCCGGCGTGGCACAGATACCAGCACTTTGCAGATATTGAAGAACCGGTTTATCTATATCGGTTTGATGATAAGCCCATGATTGATGCATTGGGTTTCTATCGCTCGGAGGATATGGATGTTGAGTCACTTGTGGACGAGTGAAGTTTCAAATATGGCGTAATTTGATACTCGGGGTGAAAGTATCGTGGGACGGTCGATCATAGAATGTGACACAACTCCAACTGAAGGTGGAATTTGACAATGGAAACCACATTCGCTTGAGATGCTTCCCCATAGACAGGGTTCTGTAGAGGTCCAGGACGAGATTCATTGACTTCGTAAGATCGTCTGCCTACCCATGGAATGACAAAAACCCCCCCCCAAACAAACAGCAAGAGCATCACAATCCATAGAGCATTGAAACAACAGCCTCGCGTGATCCGAATTTCAAGCCGGGACGTACGGCTTATCACTTCTGACAATATATACTTCTCCAATAAGAACTGCACATCCAACCAGCATAGAGACAGCAATGATGGAAAAGTTCACCTGGGCAAATTCACGATTGCCGACATGGATATGCTTTTTAGCCAAGATATCCCGCCACAGCAGCCCAGCCAGTGAGCCACTGAACGCAGTGCTGAATGCACCATAATTGACTCCTAGAGCCATACTGTAGACAGTGGCCCACCATGTGCGATCGCTGATGGGAATTCCACTGACTTCATGGAGCTTTTGCCACGCTTGGATAACGCGCGAGAGGAGAATCGCGGTACCGATGTTTGTCCCGGCAAACTGAAAAGATGACGAGTTAGTGGGCTCGAAGTAAGGGGAAGGCGATCAGCCCATTATTAGATACTCACATTGCACAGAATCACAGATAAAAATCCCATTCCACCTATGCTGCCTACTGTCCCGGTCCTTTCTACCCACTGGTCCCACCCATGCGCGAAAACTGGCACCCAGCCCTTGGTCACAAGTGCCTGTACCAGGATAAACATCGCAAAAGCGAAGGGTACCAGAGCAAAGGGCATGTTCGATGCTATGACCGCCACAGTGGGAAATTTTTCCTGTAACCAGCGGGAGAGGTCAGCCAAGAGTGAAACCAACGTGCGTGGGCTCTTGTCCTGATGATATGCATATCTCCCCTTCTCCTCATTTGTCGTTATGCCGCTGATTTCTCTTGGCTTGGATGCTTCGCGGGAAGGTGTGTGAGTTTGTTGTGTGCTGTCCACCATCTCAATGCATGGTGGCCGTAGCTCCGCAAGACTCCCCTTGTCAGCGAGGACAGAGGTTGACAGAGAAGTATCATTTTCTGGACAAAGATCATTCAGCGCAATATCTTCAGTCCCGAGCGAGATATCGTCAGAAATGTGCTCACTGCGGCGGCGCAAGCCCGATGCACCACATTGCTCAGACTGGTCCAATCCCAGTGCCTCTCGATCTATTCTCTCTCGTAAGGTTTTATGTTCCTCCTGTTTGTAGATCCCTTGCTCAACCTGTGCCTTCCGGTCTGCTTGCCTACCCTTCGCGGCAGCCTCCTTGGTTTCGTTGCGATGGGGCCAACCATCACAGCAAAGCGTTAAGAAAGCAGCGGGCAACGTGACCCAAAAGACGGGGTGCTCTCCGCCTGTTTGAGCTGATGCATTGATTGCTAGGACGGTGATTAGCGTGGCGGCCATAATGAGAGCCCCCAAGAGAGCACCCCTTTTGTCCAAGAAAGGGTTCATGATCTCCTCTAACTCGAGTTGGTCTCCTTGGTCGCCGCCGGTTTTCTCCGCCTCTTCTGCAGTTCGTCTGGCATGAGGAATATTGGGGTTTACAGGTGGTTTGGCTTTGGCTTCCTCGGACAACTCGTGCATTGTTATGCAGCGAGGGACAAGGGATTCGTCGGCGAAAACGACATATAACAGGAACGGGAAAATGACGGCGGCTGTCACAACTACGGGAACGATCATATTGGCTGTGTAGACAATGAACTTGATCCTGAAGGCGCCAGCAAGGACCAAATTGGTCGGGTTGGATGAGACAAGTATCGCGGAGGCGATGTTGGCTATGGCAAACTGGCTGTGGATCCATGCTCTGGGGTGGATGATATTGCTTGAAACACGGATCATGTATGCAAGGAATGGTGTGCCCGACAGAATAATCGGGTCGTTTCCGACGAAGCTGCCTAACACAAAAAAGAAGGCGAACATGTAGAAAAATAGTCGATGGCCGGCCTTCCCTGCCTTTTGGAGAACTTTCAAAGCCAGGTATTTGATGAGGCCAGACACGTCAATCGAGATGGCGATGTAAGCGAGAGTGAGGAAGAAGACCATGATGTCAATGGGATTAATGTTGTCTGCCCCGACTATTCCATCATGTACCTCTTTTCGGCCAATGGCCAAGATAGCGAGAAGGAAAAGATCTGCGATTAAAGGTGCCGTGATCAAGTTCAATGGAAAGCGAAATTTCACGAAAGTGGGCTGGTTTTCATTGTATTGGGGGCGCGTCCGATGAGGAGTTATGCGCATGGCACTCAATAGGTCCCAACCCCCGTTTATAAGCCATTGGGGCAGGTATATAGGAATATGAAATGGGAAAAGGACAACAACATCTGCACCGCAAAAAGCAAAATAAGTCTCACTCGCGCATTGTAGGCCTGGCCACACTTACTAGTTGTAACAAAGGTGATTAGGGTGATTATTGATCGCCAACTTTTGATTTTCGATGTATCGAGCTCGTCATCCATTTTGAATACTTGTCTCTCTTGCTTTTGGACTGATTGAGGGCCGCTTGAGCTTGAGGTTCATTTCACAAATATGCACTAGATAGGAGCTGCGGTCATCATACGTCAAGTCAGCCTCTCTATCGTGCCTGGGCTGCAGTTCCGCATGGTGACTAAATACCGGAATACGGAACAAGAGAAACTTGGTTATCAAGACCCGACTGTTGCTTTTATTGCGAATGCATTTTTCTCTTGCCAAAAAAAAGAAAGAAAGAAAGAAAAACCAAAAGGCACGACAATATGACGGTCTTGAGTTGTTTCCTGTCAATCGAAAAGCCGGAGAATCTTTATCGGGTGACTCTTTTTCTCCTGTGCTCAAATGCTGGGGAAATCCACAAAATTTCAGGGATTTGGAGAATTTCAATGGGACAACTCTTGATCACGTCGACGAGTTCATTGGAATGATGGCGACTTAGGTCAGGAAGAGAGGTGGGAGCCCAGCTACTGATAAAGACCCAGATAAAGACCCAGTTGACCTCTGTCGATGGGATATCTCCGTTTCAGAAGTGGAATTGTGAATTGAGAATGGGATTTTTACAAAGTAGAGTCCCAAAGTAAAGCCCCCGATATAAACGTCACGATGCGTGGGATAGGACAAAGGCGAGGTCTGTTGCACGGGACACAGAGGACATTCTGATTGGCTGAGACTCAAGAAATGTCATGGCGAAAAACTTGGAGACGTCCGTGACGTGACAGGCGGTGAGGACATGGAAGCGCCAGAATGCTGTATGTGCCAGTAATTTAGGGTATTCGAATTACTATTTAAATTACTACTTAAGCCCCAAATCGTAGGTCCTATAACGATCTAGAGAAGGTAAACAGATGTTGATCCCTAGAGACCGCAGCAATGAGATCTTGGCAGGAATAGAGAGATATTAGGTGGCCAAGATCGCCAAGATCACGGTATATGCCAAGACCGTAGTGATACGTAACCATGGGCATTGATAGGGTTCTTCTGGCCATGGATGAGCTCTACGGAGTAGATTGGGTTGAGCCTTCAAAGGTTGGGCTTGGAGCCCACACTTGCGGATGTAGTCTCGGTCCCAGTCAAAATCCCGGATGGAAACACTTCCAATTGACAACACTGGCGAGGTTTTAATTTTGCTAGGCCGGCTCACGTTCCGATGCCCAGTTTGTCCGTAAGATAAAATCCGGCAAGTATTTCTTGGGCTACAATAGGTGGTGCGTTTACTTATGGCTCTGACTGTAGCATGACTTGTACCCCAGAAAATGGGCCAGTCTCACCGTTACGACGAGAGGCAGCTGAAAATATTTACGTGCTTCCGATACCCGACGAGTTATCTGTCAATGCTACTGCGCTGATTGCGGTTGAATGCTGTGTCCCTGCTATCTTATCGCTGGTATCTATGTTGTTCAAAATCTTGGATGACAACTGGAAGAAATCCTCTAACGGAAAACGAAGCCAGGAGTCAAACGAACTCATTGAGGCAACCAGTCAAGCTACCATAAAGCCCAGTACTCGAACTTACCAGAAGATAAGATACTGGGGATCTCTCATTGAGATACCGATATTTGCTGGTTTCCTGCTAGCAATCCTCATTAGGGGGGGATTAACTTCTGTAGTGCTCAAATGAAGTACCAAACAGAGCCTATGCAGAGCGTTGGTCAGTAAAGGATGTGTCTTATCTTGGATATCGCAAGCTATGATCAAAGAGAACAGATATTTCTCACCTTATTGACAAAGAACCCCATACAAGTTTAAGTAATGACTAGATCCACTGCGGATATTCTCTCGAACTGGAGGTTCAATCATACGCCGGCAGCACCGGAGATCTACCCGATCTACCCCCGCCCGACACAACCCCAGAAATAGTGACATCCCGGCAACCCCTGATCATATGATACTATCAAATGGCGTCAAATTTGCCGGGCAGTGAAACGCCTGACGGACGGCCCTCCAAACGGCGCCGTGTAGCCATCGCCTGTGATGCATGCCGAACCCGCAAATCCCGATGTGACGGCAAGCGGCCAAGCTGCTCGTTATGTCAGGATTTGGGGTTTGATTGTGTTTACACACCGCCACCAACGGCCGCTAATGTCATCGTGCAGAAGGACTATCTGCATGGACTTGAAGATAGGGTCAAAAGGCTTGAACAGTCGCTTGGGGCTGTTAGGGGTGATTTGGACGGGTTGGTGAAAAGAGTTGTTCATGGGCCCGAAAAGGACAGGGAGCCCGCTATTCCCGGTCAAAATACTGAGGAGAGTCGGGATGAGACGAGTTTTGCTGCACCGATGTCTGGTTTGATTGGGACGGAGGATTCAGTCGATGGTATGGGTGCGGTAATTTTCGCTGACGAGGAGGATTCTGGGTTCTTTGGTAAATGTATATATGCTTGATAAGGGAGCTCTAGATTGCTAATGACTTTACAGGCCCTTCTTCAAATATTGCATTTCTTCGACATTTGTCGAGCGCTATTGTCCAACCAGGCTATTTTCCGTCACCTGGCGCCGCTGAAGGTGGCTTCGTGAATGCATCGAGGCCATCATCGCCACTACGCCAGGCAGGTCAGGATCGGCGAATACAAGTCAATATTTTTGCTTTACCGCCACAGGCAGACGCTTTGGAGCTCATCGAACGATATTTCTCTAACACGGGCTTACTATTTCCTTACATATACCCACCCGTCTTCCTAGACACATATCACCAGATGGCAACGGAGAACTTCAGTCGGGTACGGAGAACTTGGCTTGGTTTGTTGAACATGGTGCTGGCTATGGCTACTATCACTGCGATCCCTGGAAGTGCAAGTGCAGATGCTCGGATCAAAGAATCCGACGTCTTTTATCAGCGTGGCCTTGGATTGTGCGGGAGTGAAATCTTGCGAGGGACAACCCTAGAAGTAGGTAAGTGACTCTCGACTCTCGACTCTTGGCTTTCTGTCTTTCTTTTTGAAATATTGTCCTGATCGTGTTCCCTTAGTACAATATCTGCTTCTGATGGGTCAATACCTACAAGGCACCCAAAAGTCAATACAAGCATGGACCGTCCATGGATTAGCCGTCAAGGCCGCTCTCCAGCTTGGATTACATTCGCGACATGCGTCTAAAGTATTTTCACCGATTGAGCAGGAAATGCGAAAGCGGACTTGGTTCGGTTGTGTGGTTTTAGACCGGTGAGTGGGTAAATCTCCACGCGCAGAACGTATGCTGACAATATAGAACCCTGAGCATGACGTTTGGTAGACCAGCAGCCATTCCAGATAGCTACGTCAAACTTGAGCTTCCCACGAAACGGAAACTTGAGAATTCACCAGGACTTGTTGATGACGAGACGGCGGCCTTGAGCGTTGCGTTTTTTAACTCGACAATGTAAGTCGTTGGGCTTGATAGACCCATGAAACTCTACTTTTCTGACATACATAAGTGGACTCTATAAGCAACTTTGGAACGTCCTAGAGCTTCTCTATGGCCAAAATATTGGCTGTGATGATCCATTGCCAGTGAGCGAAAATGTGGCCCATATCTTCAGCCTGGAACAGCATCTTTTCTCATGGGAACGGTCGCTTGCCCATCCGTTACGACTTGTATCGTCAGCTAGTATTGAAAATTTGCCCCGTGATCAAACGTCGTCCAACTCACAATATCTCTCGTTGAAGTTTCAAGTCATTCTGACCTTGAGATATCTCAATCTTCGAGTCCTGCTCCATCGCCCAATACTGGTCAAGTTCATCACCGCAAGTAGGTCCCCTGATCGCGATCCTCAAGATATGAGATTGCTGCAGCAGATCGGTATGAATAGCCTGCAGATATGCGCAGATTCTGCAATGGAGATCATTGATATTGTACATCGCGTGGTATCAGAACCTGGATGGAAGCGCAGCCTCTTAGGGGCCTGGTGGTTCTCATTGTACTACAGTATGCCCCCAGCTCCCCGCTCTGAAGTGGTACATGCTAAAAACAGTTTCTCAGCTTTTAATGCGGCACTGGTCCTCATCGGAGTGGGCTGGGTCTACCGCGATACCACCCTAACAAGTTCCACGATGACAAATCAAGCAAGCAAAGTCGGACAATATCCCGGCCGTGCAGTAGCAGCACTTTCGAGGCTCGACGACGGCAATCGACTGATCGACCGATGCCGGTATTACTTGGAACAACTCAGCAAGGTCTTGAACGATTCTGGTCGGTCTCCTTTGCCTATTCTTCGTGTTATTTAGATTATACTAACATGAGTTTGCTCAGAAACGAACCTAGATGCATCGACTACAGCCCTTCCTGCTCTTCATTGTACTCGAACAGGTCTCATAAGGGACGACTTCAGTCTCTCGCCCTTTGGTATGGAACTCGGCGAGTTCATGATGGATGGGGATCTTGTCACGATGATGGATCGTCAGGGACTTCTTCCTGTAGATCCTGATTCAGCCTTTACTACTTGATCTTTGATTGTGGCGGTTGTAATTGTACCAAAATTAGATACCATGGCAGCTAGTATGCGTTCTCCACACCGGGGGATGTTCAACTTCCATGTTGTAGGGATATATGTAGCAGCGAACCGAGCGTCTTCTATAAATGCCACTTTCCTTGCAAGCCGCCCACTAAGGCTTTCTTTAGGATAATACTGTGAGAAAAACAGAGATAGAAATTAAAAACGCTTGGATGGCAAAGATTATCGAAATTAGCTGTGGTACTGATTACTGCCCAGAATTGAATGTACCAATAGTCAACTATGACCAACTCTTCAACCATCAAGCTCCTTTCTTCGCTCAAGCTTAGCCTGATGAGCCATCCTTGCGAACAGTGTTGCCATTCCAGCATGGTCACAGTCAACATGAGGCTCCTTTTCCAGCAAGATATCACCCTCCTGTCCATCACGCTTAGAGAAGTCGAAGGCCTTCGGCTTGTCACAGTTATACTGTGCATTAGCGGCGCGAAGAAGGCATATCTCATTCTTCATGCACTCGTCATTGCAACTCTCGACTTCGAATCCACGAACACGTCTCGCCCAGTAATCTTGGAAAATGGTGGGATCGCGTTCCATGGCAACGGTGACGTTGTGCCAGAAAGCCGGACCAATCTCGGCCTTTGGATCGGTCAGAGGAGGTGAGATCTTGGATCCGTAGTCTGCTTTGGCGGAGTAATAGGGCACCCATTCTGGCTTTGTCTGGAAGGATGGGTTGCTAATGTTCGCAATGTACTGGGTGTAATCCAGGACGCCGAAGGTGACTGGATCAATCTCGTAGACGCGGAAAGAGGGTAAGCCTTCCGTTGGCGTCACGGCTGGAGCGACATAGCCCATTGCGGTGGCTGTCTTCCAGTCTCGGTTTTTATAGTCGGAGTAGGCGACTTGGAATCCATCCCTGTGCGTATGACCATAGAATAGACCTGCAATAGTGGCATCGTAGCGCTGCACAATCTGGTCGAAGTATTCTGAGTGGTCGCGGAAATGATCTGGCACACCCGATGGGATATGAGAGATCAGCCATGCGCGCTGGCCCGCGTCCTCGGCAGCCTGCAGTTCCTTGATGAGCCATTCAAATTGTCCACGTGGGTCCTTCTCCATTGGCTCCTGGTACATATAGAAGTTGTATATGTAGTAGAAGATGCTGTTGTAAGAAATAATGCGCAGGTTGCTATTTGGGTGGACGGCTGAGTACGAGGCAAATTGATCCGCAGATTTGACTGAATCAAGGCCCGTGAGCTCATACCAATCCTCTGCCAGGGCATCGTATGCCCATTGGGGATCAGCCTCGTGTGAAGCATCTGCAGGGAAGAGGTTGAGTGGCGCGGTATCATGATTCCCTATGGCAGCGTACACAGTGCCAATGTCTTTCTCCATTGCACTGTACGTGGCATTGAGGCCTTTCACAACTGCAGCCTCGTCGGCCAACCAGACATCGTGGGGCACGACGTCGCCGGTATAAATAGAGAACTTTGGCTTAATGTCCGCGATAGCAGCATGCAAGCTCTCCTGAAGTGTCTGTGGTGGGTCACACTTTGGGTTTCCAAATGGTCCACATGGGTGTTCTGTGTTCCCCGGTGCATATTCATCTGACCACGATCTGCAACAGATGGGCTTGGAGCACTCATAGCTAGATCCAGGCTCGTAGAGAAGGTCCACGTGTGTATCGCTGAAATGGACGACCTTGAGCGGGGTTTTTCCGCTGGGTGGTGGCCTCACAGTCTTTGGCTTGGATTTAGGGAACGTCAGACTGTAAGGATGAACCTCAGGGTATTTGCAGAGTCCGACTAAGCTAGCGCAGAGTGTCTTGGAGGCGTCGGAATTGAGATGCAAAGCTTTGAAAGCATCGTGCAGCGCAGGTCCTTCTTTGTCAATAATCCCGGTGCAGACATCTGGGTCCTCAACCTGTACTTATGGTTAATGAAACTGAGCCATTCAACGGGAATCGCAAACGTACCCCGCTGATCTTACACAATCCGGTGAATACATCGATCATGAACTTCTCACCAAGCCCTGCAGTGACTTTGATACTACCGAGGAGAACCTAAAGGATTGGATAGAGTGAGCCAAAGACCTCATAAGCAATGCAAGTGACGAGCATAATGATACCTGGCAAGTACCGCAGCTCACTGCATTCTTAAGATCTTCCCAAATAGTAGCGATGGACTTCTCAACTTGAGTCTCGGCTTGTACACCCCGGAGAGATGCCGAAAGCCCGCACGCCAGCAGCAAGGTGTTAAGTCTCATCTTGAGGGTTGACTAAACAAAACCTTCCCAGGGGTGATGTAAACTCATGGGCAGTCGACACCTTATATATCATGGGCCTGGGTCAGACCATTCCCGTACTTTGCCAAAATAAAAAGCTGATCCTACACCTCGCTTAGAGGAAGGAACTAAGAACCTGCAGCTTACCCACATAGCGACGATCTTTTTCAGTTCCGATATAACCTTGGGACAGCTTTTTACCATGTGATAAGTAGTAGAGTAGTATCCAAGATTCCCCTCGAGATCGCTCCATTGTAGTTGGTACCTTTTTGCATTATGCCCGAAGCATAGACGATGGGGAGAAAGCTACAATAAAATGCATAGCGGGGATTCAAAGCGGCCGGTCGTTCAAGAGGGGTTCTCGCAACTACATACTGAAAAAAGAAACGCAGCCAAGAAGCTAGCAGATAGTTCCTTGTAACGTTGCAAAGCCGCTGATCTCAGAGGGCTGATCACTTGGGATGTGCGCATATCCCCGGGAACTTGCGACCTTAAATATAGGAGTGTTCAGACGAGATAGTAGAATATACAAGGTGCAGCTCCCAAGATTGAGAAATCCAAGGCTTACTTATATGTATGTAAAACACCGTCAAACTTCTCCAGTGACAGTAAAGCTCATAATCGGATGTGTCGGGCCATCATCTTATCTTACTCATATACATGCCAAGCTTAGTGCCTGCAGGATTCGCGGTGGATAACTTATTCGTGCGAGCATAGGAGACCGATTGGTCATCGCGAACGGAGAATTGTAAGATGTTGATCTGGGGTAGAAGATCAATATCCATGCTCATGCTTGCTTAGATGGAGGGAGCTGCAGCTTTCGACCTGATGTATCACACTACAGATGATTGGCGAATAGATCACTGTCGATCGCAAATATCCCATCCCTGTCTCACACAATTTTCCTAAATCCCTCAAGCCCACATCGCTCAGGTAGACTCAATACTAGGACTGCTGTATTCCAATGCGTGGAGCTTCACTCCGTAGGACTCACGAGGATAGGAGGGCTCATGTGCACAGATTAAGATAAATTGCCTATATAGGCACGGAGCAGCACAACCCCTGGCAGATTTCGCACAAGTATACAAAGGAGTCACAATTATACGGAGCAATACGGAGTATATGTTGTTGAATTATCTGCGAGCTGTGGGCTTCTGTGCCAGAATGTTATTGGGTGAGCCATAAAAAGGGTGAAAAAGGGTGGAGATTTCCAGAGACAGATACCGGTTTTTTTATTTGTGTACGGAGTAGCTTCAACAAGAGCTGTTAATGTGTCCAAGGGTAGCTTTTAGAAGAGATGTATTTCGTATTTCGTACAATCATGTACATTGTACGGAAGGGTTGGTGAAAAACCCTGAACGGATTAAAACCGGGGTAAAACGGTTCTATTTTTCTCCCCACATTCCATTTGACATCCTATTTTTCTTCCCCCTTTTCTTCTCCCAACTATTCCACCCTTCTCTCCCAGTTGCGGATTCGGACTCCGTCGGGAATCGAGATGAAGCCTCCGCACACGCGCCATTACAGCCCGCCTACCGCGATTTTACACTAGAATCTGACCCCCAATCGTCTCCACTATCGTGCCCGACATCTGGGCTTGTTAGACCCGGACGAACCAGACGAACCGGACGAACTGGACTATCTGATCTAGCTGGGCTGCCGAACTGGACTGTCCTAGCGGACAGTCCGCCATCGGTCACATTTGTCATGAAGGATCGTCAACAACCTACGCTGGGTGTTTCGATCACCTTTTTCACCATCGCCACAATCTTTGTCGCCCTCCGCTTCATTTCCCGAATATTTGTGGTCAGGAAGATCGGGTTACACGACTGGTTAATGTTGGTCGCATGGGTAGGATCCCTCGCCTCAATCCCTGCATGTACCCGGGGAAGTAGCGAGAACGGACTCGATCTGTTCGCGAACCGGGCACATGATTGAGACCTCGTGTTCGACCTCGGAGACTAATCGGTTTACAGCTAATTGATTTTGGCTTTTCCTTCTCGTTATTCTTTGCTGTTCAGAAAGGTCTTGGTCTCCATGCGAGTGACATCAGACCCGAAGATGAGCTCGCCTTTAACAAGGCCAATTATGCGTTCACGGTCCTCTATGTCAGTAACAATGGCCCTTTGTTACTCCGCGGGTTAATAATAAAAACAAAGGCCATGCTGACAATCATTTAGAATCCGGCGTTAATGGCCGTCAAGACTTCGATCCTTGTCTTCTTCCTGACCTTGACACGCAATCAGAAGGTCTTCCGATTTGCAAACTATCTCACTCTTTTTGTAGTGAACGCAGCGGGCTTTGCGTTGACATTTGTCAATATTTTCCAATGTCGGCCTGTCAGCGCAGTATTCCTTTCCGACGTCCCGGCCGATGCGAATTGCACCGACATTGTCACCCTGTACCTCTCTTCGTCCCCGGTGAATATTATTACCGACATTGCCATCCTATTACTTCCGATGCCGCTTTTGACAAAAATGCGCCTACCTTACAAGCAAAAAATCATTTTGGTAATCACTTTCTCCTTTGGTTTCTTTGTGGCCGTGGTCGATGTGGTTCGAATTGCCTTTCTTCAACAGGCTGCTATCTCTCGTTCGCTGGAAGTCAAGTCAATTCATATTAAGAACATCGGAGGGGTGGACTTCAGTTGTACGACTCGCTCATCTCCCGTATTGAAAACTAACGTGTCAATTGAGCTAAGCTAACAGCCAGGGTTTCACAGGGTACGCGTCGCTATCTTTCATGTGGTCTGTTGTCGAAGTCAACCTATCGATCATTTGCGGTTGTGTTCCAAGTCTCAAACCTCTCGTCACTCGTCTTGTTCCGAAATTAATCAGAGACACAAATGATGATACATCGATTTCTTCGCCTCATGGACTCTCTGCAGGTGCAGCAGGGGAAAGTCAAGTTGCAGCTCCGCCTCCGGCTGCAGTCCCAGGCTTACCAGAATCTCCATCCCCGCTGCCATCTGGCAAGGAAGGAAATAAGGGTCTGCAGAACCAAGTCGGTAGTGTCTCTGGTGTTCGACCTAGCTCCCGGGACTCGGGGCCTATTGGTATATTGGATTTCCTGGGTCATCCAGAAACAGCGCCCCAGGATACAGAAGGGGGGACCCAAACCCATACTAGCGCATCTTATGCACCGGACATCACGTTCTTCGATTTTGTGAACATGAAGAATCCGGAAAGTATGCTAAAGCTAAACAACAGAGAGTCAATCGCGCCAATTGCATTAACCACACTACTTTTCTTCCTCTGGGGTTTTGCATACGGCTTGCTCGATATTTTGAATTCCCAATTCCAGACCATTGTCCATTTAGGTCCATGGCATTCCTTGGGTCTTCATGGCGCATACTTTGGCGGATACGTGATTGGCCCTCTGCTAATTGGCCAGCCCGTCTTGAAAATATGGGGCTTCAAGTCCACCTTCATAACTGGACTTTGCATATATGCCTGTGGAACCCTCATATTTTGGCCTTCGGCTGTCCTAACGTCAACGCCTGCGTTCATTTTGTCCAACTTCATTGTCGGTTTTGGCCTAGCAGTTCTGGAAACTGCAGCAAATCCATTTATTGCGCTATGTGGGCCGCTTGAAAATTCCGAAATCAGACTCAATATTTCGCAGGGTGTGCAAGCGGTTGGAAGCGTCGTATCGCCTCTCCTGGCGAAACGGGTTCTTTTCAAGGATGTTCAGGATGTCGCATCATTAGTTGACGTACAATGGGCATACCTTGGCATCGCTCTATTCGATGTGCTGTTGGCGATGGCGTTCTATTATCTACCAATCCCCGAAGCGTCAGATGAAGATCTGGAAGAACTAGCAAATCGTCGCCGAGAAGACAATATGACCAAAGTGATCGGGATACCAGTCGTTTGGCTAACTCTCGGCCTAGGAATCTGGTCTCAATTCTTCTATGTGGCTGGGCAGGAGGTCCTCGCGACAGCTCTCCAACGTTTCGTTGTTGCCGCTCGTCCAGATTCCTCACTCGGACCATTCGATGTCCTGACCATCGGACACAGCATTTTTGCCGTGGGTCGCTTTTTTGCCGCATTTGCACAGTGGTTCCTCAAACCGCGCTGGATTCTGATGGTCAGCTACATCGGCATGATCGTTTGCTCCATTCTTTGCATGAAAACAAGCGGCTCAGCGGCAATCGCCATGGCAATGTTGCTCTACCTATTCGAGAGCGGCGCATTCAGCATCATCTTTGCCATCTCCCTGCGCGGCACAGCCCAGCATACAAAAACCGCCGCTGTGCTCATGACGATGGCAATCGGCGGCGGCACCTTTTTCCCGTTTGCTGAATACGCGGCATACCTCGCACATGGCGAGTCATATTCTTTTTGCGTTATAATTGCGCTCTTCTGCGCCGGTGCCATCTTCCCTATCTACCTCAACCTTGTACCCGCCGTGAAAAAGCAAGTTGACCCTGTTCCGAATGAGTATCTCCGCCGACATCGCCGCCGAAGTCGGATCCCGGTTGACACCATGCATCGCGAAAAGGATAATCCTTCTATGGGTGGTGTGCTTTCACGTCCACGCAGTCTGGTCTCCAATCCTGACCACCTACCCGATCTTCTGCTTCCGGAGGAGATTCATCAAAACTCGCTAGCTCGTGATCTTTCGGGCGCTCAATCGATTTCCAGCTCTAGCTCGCGTGTTAAGCCGAGCTCTTCCCGCGATTCAGGCTCAAAGCAGAGGTTCTCCGCCAGAGTCAATGATGCCTGACCGTTGCTTAGCAGGTCTCATTACTGTCTTTGCCTCTTTCCTTTTGTCTCACGAGTCACACCTTACAACACCAATGGACCCCTTAGATACCCCTTCAATTTTTCTTTTTTGGGGATTTGTGACAAGATTTTGTCACGTATTCTCTCTGCATACTCTGGGTGGCAGTTCTTTTGTTTCATCTTTCATTTGCAGCATTTCAGCGATGGCGTTTAGACCAAAAGCTTTTCGGGATCTTTCTTGGCTTAATTTTTGATTTCACTACATAATAATATGCATCCAATCTCATCAATGCGGGCTTTGGCCAGAATCAAGCATTCTAGTATGTAGCTTGAGTTTGATTCTCCACGATGAAGCATGCATGTCCTATATGTGATCCTCGTCAATCACGTAGAACGGTGGCTGAGCAGAGGCTGAGCAGATCTCCGTCAGCCACCGTTCTCCGTGGCCTTGGCACCTGGGAAAAAGAATGATTTGATTCGACGTACGCATCTGGCCAATTATGTCTTGCAGCACGTAAGCGCGTGGCAGAAGTCTCCAAATACTATTTTGGGATCTTTAATTCCCAGTCTACCATTTACTGCCTCTCTTATCTTTCTTTCTTCTTTCTTTTTCTTAGTTGTAGGTCTCTTATAGCCCTACATCACCCACGGATCCTGGGTATATCTCAGACATGAACGATACCACCGCACAGGGCTGGATTGGCGAACCTGACGGTCGGGGAACGTGGAGTATCCTATCCACCTGTATCCTCACAATCGTTCTCTGTTGCTGGACATCCATGTCCCCAAATTTACCTGCCAAATCCGATGGCAAGTTCAAGATCTGGAGATATAAATTCGATCTTGCTTTTATGACGGTTCTCGGGTCTGAATTCGTATTGATGGTGGCTCTGGGTCAATGGTCATCCGCACGTTATTCACTTAAGGTAACAAGTTACTTCTAGGACGGTTTTGGTATTAAAGCTGATTGAACAGAAATTCCACAAGGCTGGATACGAGGACTGGACTATCCAGCATGCCTTCTTCGCCAATATGGGGGGATTTTTAGTCGAGCCCCCGGAAATAGACCTACCTTCGTTCCCATTGGATGCGGAGCAGCTCTATACCCTAGTAAGGGAGGGTTATGTCGACTATCCTATCTTACAGGAGGAGGAAATTGAAGATAAGAGCAAATCAGGTGGACTAGCTAGGTGCGTGCCACGATATCTGGTCCTATGTACTGTACTTACCTCGATAGATTGTTCACAGTAGCGCAAGCCCTCTGGTTCACGTTAAACTGTGTCACTCGATTTGCCCAGGGTATTTTTGTTACCACTCTTGAGCTCACCACTCTGTCCTTCGTTCTAGTCTTCATAATAACATCCTACTGCTGGTATCACAAACCTATGGATGTCAACCGACCAATCACTTTGAAGCTCAATACCTCTGTAGCTGCAATTCGGAGAAATCACCACCGAGGCCCCGAATCGAAGTGGTATGAGACACCATTTGAATATCTCTCACGGGATGAGTGGTTTCTTGCTCGATTTTGGAGATACTACATTCAGATCCTACACTACATGCATATACCGCTAGTAACTCAGCCCCAACGACGACCATATGATCGCATTCCAAGTCATTACTTGCTAAATGTTGACATAACGGCTGAGGTGATCGCTACCCCGACAATTGTTTTTTTCAGTGCTATGTTTCTTATTGCCTGGAATTCTCATTTCCCTACCGCGGCTGAGAAATTACTTTGGCGTATTGCTAGTGTGAATAGCATATCCTATGCGTTGATTGGAGGGCCTCTTTCGCTATATTTTCAGAAAACCCTGTTTGAAGCGAAGAAAAAAGAAGAAAGAGCACAAGCTAGGTTGAACCGGAAACGAGCAGCCAGGGGATGGATCGATCGTTTTACTACGAAGCTCAGAAATATTCATCCTGATCAGGATCCTGAGTTGGAGATTCCTCTTCGCGCGTTGATTCCAATTTCCTTGCTGTGTGCCTTATATTGCGTAGGTCGAGGGTTTATCTTGACGGAAGACTTGATTGGATTGAGGAGTTTGCCAAAGAGTGCTTTTCAGACGGTTACTTGGTCAAGATATGTACCTCACTGGTAGTTATATCTGGTGGATTATTTTGACTGATATAAACGAGGCCTTAGACGCAACTTCTATGTTCCATTATGATAGATGATGACAGAATCGACTGGTGGATGTACCAAAGGATTTACTCATTACTGGTTTCTCTTCCTTGTTCGTATTAGGGTTTTCTTCGTAGATAGATGCCTCATCACAACATCTGCAAATTAGGGTTTGGGAATACGGCGGAATTACAAGAATGTCCCAAATATCGGGGGGTTTTTTTCCTATATTTCCTAAACAATTTTTGTTTTTTCAAAGAAAATGAAATACGCGCGGCAATCCGATTCAAGACCCTTAACTATATATCTAAAACCAAAAGCAGAAGCAAAAGCCGAGCCCCCGATCGCAAGATCGAAAAAAGGGGGATCTCGGAGAATTTTCTTCTGATAGGCACCAGCCATGGGCTGTGAAGGACCAGGGGAATTCCACATGCAAGGCTAACGGAGAAAGCATCGACTAATAAACCAACTAGGAAGCCTATCAGAAGGCTAAAAACGCTAAAAACGCTAAGAAGGTGCGTGGAAGAACCAGCTAGGCTCCCCGGTCTCAGCTACGCCACGAGATTGCATAGAAGACCCATCTAATAGGCTAATATAGCGTACAATTTCCGATATACAAGACTTCTTTCAAGATCAACCCTGACCTTCCACTTAAGTAGCCGAATCGGTCTTGCCTAAGGCTTTCGGACATTTTGGAGTAGATCGGCGATCAGCTTTGAGCTTTCAAATTCTCCATACATCCATAAATACTATCTTACATACCGATCTCTTTATGGAACTAGCACGTCATTCAAATTAACCCAAAAGTCAATGCCCATCAATACATGTAAAATATAGTGGAGGCAGCATTCCCAATTCTTCCATGATATTCAGCAGTTTCACATAGTCCACCCTTCTATAAGACGAAAGAGGAAACTCCCATCACAGCCAAGGGACAGCCACCAGCGGTAACCGCTCGGATTGGATCTGAAGAGTCCACAGCGGACTCGCAAACCAGTGGGGTTGCCGAGTGGTTCATCGACTTTTTGGAAATTTGTCTATTTTGGTGGAATTGCCGATGAGGTTTTTTTTTCTTCCTCTCCACTGAACCAAGAGTAGGTGAATTGTAGATCGGAATGTGCAGTTTTCCTCCTACACATGAAATATACGGAGTGCCTATTTCAGACTGAAACGAACCATAGGGTCCATTTTGTTTTATTTTTGGCTTTTTTTTTTCTTTCAATATCGAAGACGCAATACTTGCCCCCGTTTTCTGCCTTACCTCCGAGGTCATCGCGTAACCTCGGGTGTTCCGTTTCATAGCAGCTGTTAGAGTGAATTGACTCGCGATTTCTATATGGATTGAAAGTGCATGTATCCATATATTCATCCAATCTAATGATACCCGGATACAAAGAATACCCCTCTGGTAAAACTCGTAGCACAACCCGTGACTCTCAATGTGGTGTTTTACGCAGAAGCCAGCACCCATATCCCAATGTACAGGATCCCCATATTAATGTTGGTGACCAAAAGAAAAAGTCGCTGGACAAAGAACCAAGGAAATAAACAAACAAGATCGCTAGATGTGAGAACCCAAAAACAATATGGCACTCAGATGGACGTCACGCCGCCGACCCGATATAGCTCCCGAAGTGCAAGATACTTTCAACCACGTGAGCTCCGCGGCCGTGAATTTTGCGAGGACGAGTCGTGCATGATATCTGGCGCCCGGGGACCAACCATCCAATCCTCCATAGCGAGCCATTCACTCCAGCTACGCTCAGCAGCCTCAATTTCGGAATCGAGGGGTCCCTGCAAAGGACGCAAGAACGGGATGGTTTCCAGTGGGGGGATGTCGTAGTCCTTTTTCACAGAGGCCCAGCCGCCGCTCTTTGCGGCGAAGAGGTAGTTGCGGCGTTCTTGCTCGTGCATGGGTCCCACACCGCTGCCCCAATCGTCTCCGAAGAAGCCGTGCAGCACACCTGGGAAGTCCATGCCTGTTGCAACCAGTCGGCGGATGTAGGGAATCAGTGATATAGAGGGTGGGCCTGGGGGTTGTGTGCCCGGTGGGGTGTCGCTGGAGGAAGACGAGGAAGATGTGGATGGCGAGGTTGAATCGAAGACTGGGTTCGGTTGGCGCTGGAAGGGGAGTTGGATGTTTAAGAATGTGGAGAGGGCCTGGACGGGAACGCTGTGTTGGGCATGATCTAGGAAGTAGCGCTGACAGCTTTGATAGTGCGGATACCATTCAAAGATATCGAAGTTTTCGTCTGGTCGTCCCGGTGAGGCGCTGGCTAGACCGATCATGATGGCCGGGTCAAATTGTGGATGGGAGTTCATGGATGGTTGTGAAGATGAAGGTGAATAGGATGTTGAAGTTGAGGTTGAGGCTTGTAGTCTTGGGGGATTTACTTGTCTATTTTCCCTCGTGCTTTTCTTAGTTCGTGTTCTCTCTCTCTTTGCTGGCTTGTTCAGGGCTGCGCTTCTTTTCCCGAGTTCTGGGAACACAGTGGGGTCGAATTGCGGCCCCAAATTAAGTGAACTGGAGGGGCAGTTGGAATGAAATGCAGAATGGGGAGGGATTTGTTACTTAGAAAAAATATCCCTACCTCGACGGACTAGGAGAGATACTCGGTGTCGTGAAGGGGAGGTCGGGGAAGATGTGGGTGCAGAGCGGAACAGATCCCTGATGGTTCCGAGTCCCCCGCGAGATTGCGGCTTATCGATGGACATTTGTTAGGGAACCATCTAGGAGATTCAGATGAGAGACTTGGGGGGAGGGGGGAGATATTCATGGAATACCCATGGATATCATGTATGAAGCAAAAGAACTGTAAACATACATGTGCGTTCTAATTCCTCGAAGAGATGGAGAAATAAAAAGGAAAGAGAAAAATCACCTGAATCCAAGAGAAAAAAAATATGTTCTGGAAGGTTCATAGAAGAGAAATGGGGTACTAATAAGAGACACAAGTTAACGTGTGTATACGGAGGATTTCTGAATCGGATCCATCGACGACGGGTCTATCCGGTCAGGCCAATCATTCTGAGATCTGTTTGACCACGGGTCGACTGTGGATATCGATCTAGGGCAAGTTGTGATTTTGAATTTTTTTTTTTTATACCATAATATATATATTAATACGTCTATATTACAATTTACATTCCGTACGGAGTACCTAGGACTTGACTATCGATAATGGCTCCTCACTTTATTATCATAGCAACCTGCTTCTAAATATTATTCGCCCAGATAAATATGACCTGCTAATAAGATCCTCCTTTTGGCAAAAGGCTGGTTCAGGACATGACTTCATCGAATAACTGGATCACTGGATCAGGAGAAAAAAAAGGGGGTCCCTCAAGACTGGGACCTCCTGGATTGTCTTCAACCAATCTAAGCCCGGGCCTACTCGCTGCAAGGTGCCTAGTCATGATTGGAATATTAGTCGAGAATGTCTGCCTATTCCATTGTCAGCATTGCCTATGGTGTTAGATATATTGAATCATGTGCCCTGCAGAGTACAGAGCATTCCGTGTCATAATCACTTTCATAATTGAGTCAAAAAGTAACCTGGGAGTGACGTTTTTATAGTGGGTTAACATATCTAAGTCAAACACAGTTAAGTCGATCTGTATACTCCCGAGCTCACCCCTACCTGCCAAGTTCCCACAAACCGGGTTCTTCAATATCGCGTGCAGCACATAAGACCCAGAACCCACTTCGGCTTTATCCCCATCATTCAGCATTCAGAGATTTCTTATTATTTTTTTCTTATCATACGCATTCCGAATCGAGTTCTTACATCAAACCTGGTTTTCCCTCAGGGGTCACAGACACAACCTCATGAAAGCAGCCCCAGCAGCCCCAAATGGCGTCACTAGAGCACACGAGCTAGGATCTACTAAACAAACAAGGGCCAGGGCAGGGGCCACTCGTCGAGCTGTGATAGTCAGAGCCCCCTTTAGCGGGGGTCAAGCTCTGACCATATCGCGCCCAGATAAGAAATGACAGGAGCTGATCTTAAGGGGGGACCATCTCTGTACTCCGTATGGGGTACTCTGCTTCATATTGAATACCAATTACGAATTCAATCTCGATGTGGTTTTTTCTTTGTCTCCTTTTCTGGAGTCCATATGGGTCCCTTTCCAGCTGCACAAAATACTGTGTGGCGCAGACCAAGGGAGGTAAATAAAGGGCGAAACTATGTGTGTCGCATCTCCTTGACACTTCTTGTTTTGAAGATTATAATATCGGAGATTTTAATTGGACCGAGTTTAATACATTCATCTCTGACCGATTCTAATATTTGAACGAATCCGAGCCATCCGATCCTTCTCTCTTCTCCGCTATCCCCGTGAAGTCGCCACCTGCGGAGCTCCCAGCCAGGTCCACGCATTTTTCCATTTGACAGATGGGATATCTATCTACTTATATGACCTGTGTCACGATGCAATTAGGAGTTGCAGTTCGAGTCAACCAGTCGGAATAACGAAGTGGCCAAGAAGGGTGTGATTCATGAACGCGGCTCGACATGCAACGATGCAACGATGCGATGGACTCTCTAGCAACCGCTACCATTCGAAAATCGATAGATCATGACTCCTTCGCATAGCTCTTGCTCAATTCGATAGCGCGCACGGTCTATGATATGCACTGGAGACCCCAAGGCTCTTAAACACGGAAAGCGCGGCAGACACGCTGGTCTGCCCCGGTAATGACAACCGTTGCTTTTCTTGCATCAGTATACAACCACGCTGAACAGTTATGATACATCCAATCCAGGCGCTGGAGAATGCAGTCTGTCTGAAACTGCCTGACCTCGATCCCAACAACCAATACGCATAATCCGTACTCAAGTCTTCGGATACCATACCCCTGGAAAGGTTGCGGAGCGGGTGAATAGATTAAGGGGAATTCAAGCTCTTCTCCAATGATCATACCCTTGGTCGTCGACACACAGCACTTGAAACAATACGGTCGCTATGGATTTGAGTCGCTCTAGCCATGGTTAAATGCTATACGGGGCACACTGCAGCTGGTGGGTATCCGGATAACGCTCGGCAACGAGTAGGCGACCGGGTTTCGGTTGCCAAGAGTGTACGAATACGACGTATACCGTTGTAACCTTGGTGCTGTTGATCGTCGCCGACAGTAGTAGCACTACTCCGTACCCAAGCTCGCAGAGCACAGACATGGGCTACCGCCGACAGCCATACTCAGAATCAGAAGCGTGGAATTTCGAATTCTTTCTGTGATCGGTAAGTCACAGGGTAGCGATGAGCAGCATTGTCGCCATCAGTGATTTCGTCGCAACTCGACATTTGCAATCATCACATCCTTCAGAAAACATACGTGTGTCGCGGCGGAGAGCATATGCACAGGTCACATCAATCTTCCGTCGAGGGGAAAACGGTGAACCCTAGGCATCCTTCACAACAAGGTCGCTAGCATTTATATAGCAGAGGGGTGTCAAACACGATCTATCAATTCACGCCCCAACAGCCGACACGTGTCACCACACAGCACTAACTTTGGAAGCCGATCAGCGTGATAGCCCCAACCCCAGCTGAAAGTACTCCGTACTCCGTGATGAAAAGAAAAACAATAGCAAACAGTGTGAATACTCTCGCATTGTTCACTGATATCTTTCATTTTCTTATTCACCCTTGTACATGATAATATATTGTACAATCTCGTATTCCCCAACCCCGCGAATAGCGCGACACTGGCGATCACTAGCTTACTCGGTAATAACGCCCTAGGCGACAATCTTGTGTAAACTAATCTTGTGTAAACTTGTGTGTCATGGGTGCATGGGGTCCTTGATAGTGGATACTAGACGAATGGGAAGTTTGCTAATGTCATTTTGCGGTGCTGGATCGGTTGTTGACCAGAACGCCGCTTTCCTGGTCGATTGTCTGGGGAAATGGACAGTTCTGCGTGCCCTACTTGGATACATCGATAAACACTTTAACAAAGCTATTTGTTTCCAAAGACTTAGTGTATCTCCTCAATAGTGCTAGAATATCTTTGTGATAGGTCAGAGAATTCCGTACTAATTGTGATAATAAATATGGGTTCTGATGGATGTTTGGATATCGGGAGTTGGTGGATAACCTAAGCTAGTGCTGAGGCAAGCGTGGAATCGAGGCTCATTGTCGTTTCCACGTGCCAGGGTTGAATGCTACAGAAGTCTCTTGCACAGTATATGTTTTTTTCGCCTTCTTCCGCTGTCTACCTACAAGACTGGGAAGGGGAACACATTATCTTGAAGATGTCTGAAATGACCGCTGAAAAGACATCATAAGGTCGCATAAGCGGCCGTCTACCCTTGTCTTTATATGAATCATTATCGAAGCTGATAGGTCGGTATTTGGTTGTAGGTTGACTGCCTTGGCAGATACTGTTATTTCCATAGCCTGTAGTCTGTTTGCTGATCTTATGGATACTTTTATCGGGATATATATTAGGGTAATAGTCTATATTTAAATGGCAAATAAATAGCTAGCTATATGTGCTTGATCTCCTCTGCTAAGTGAGGCTTTCCTTTCTGAGCTGCCACTATCTTCGTGAGAGCGCTCAGAGTCAGGCTCACTGAGTAGATTCAGGTCCGGTCTCAGACTCACTGATTACTCAGAGACCGCTCAGTCGAGAGTCATCTATTGAGCGCCCAGCCTACATTTCCTTAGCTCGAGTCATGTTGGAAATGTATTGTCATAATCATGGCATATGGGTGTTAGCATATGTCCGCTAACATAGATGTCATCAAGATGGTATACAGGCTTCTCTCCGCCCTTCTCGGCTCAGAGATCATGCCACTGGGGGCAGTCTAATGACCAAACTGAACGTGAACGTTAACCCGAATACAATCATTCTCAGCCAGGGGTGAGCGCTTTCTATCTTAAACGTGTTCTGGAGGATTTCACTAACTAGCCAGACAGCCAAAGCCCTCTTTGAGGTCGAACACTGAGGAGCATATCATATCGTGAAGTGATAGAGTCCAAAACACGATCGGGCATAAGGATCGGGTAAAAGTACATTTCCGATTGCTGTTATCCTGGCCCTTATCTTATTATATGTATTCGTCTAGGTCAAATGCGGAATGTGCTATCTATAAGTGTCTATCAGACTCCCGACCTAGGAGTTACCATATCTTCGCGAACGTGATACTTACTAGGAATATACTATACTCGAATTTATTCCTTTATAGAAGAGCACTTAGTCCTCTCCTATAAGGATAGATAGATCACCGCCTATGCCTAGGACGAACTTAGCAACCGCGAGCGTAACCACGCCTGTGAGGAATATAAGAGGGCCATCCGTATTCTTCGTTCTCTATGAATCTATATACCTAATACTGGAAAGCACAACGTTTTGTATCAAAGGGAGATAGGAAACGTGGCCATGTTGGACTTCGAAACTGCTATAGAATGTCCCTAGTCAGAAAATGTGCCTGATACCGAGCTGCTGTTGCTGTTTGGGGATTCTATCTTCCGTGGATACACGAGTGGTGGGTATTCATGCTATATCATTCTGGTACCACGCTTGCTTTTACTTGGGTATTATTACCCATTATCGCCTTCGAACTCCTCGAGTCTTTGTAGTTAGAGCTAGCTTCTTGACCTGATAAATTCAACATTCTTGGAAATGCGTCGAAACTACCTGATAGACACCATTAGTACCATGATATGTTGCTCAATTGTCCGGAAGTTAGGACTCCCAGAGGCCGAATCAGAAGTTATACATAAGAAAGTCCCTTGCACAGAGTATGTTTTTTCCGCCTTTTTCTACTGTCTACCTATACGACTGAAAAGAGGAGAAACCGTCTTAGAGAAATCTCAGAACGAATGGGAAACCCACCGAGAGCCCCATTAATTGAAAATGCCATTTCACAGCCCTGTACGAAAGATATCATAAGACCGCATAAGCGGCTGTCTACTCTTGCCATCTTTAGACTTGAGGCTGTGCAGTGTATGGGCACTCCTGGAAAGGCCAAGAAATGGCATAGGAAATCTGGTACGTAGGTGGTCCATGCCTGAGGAATGTGCATTGACTACATGAAACCCAACCTCAAAACATTATGTTCATAACGGAGAACACCATGCGGTATATAAATTTAGTACTACATCCGAATGAAGGGAGTCCCTTATATAAAGCAAGTATGGGGTAAAGGTAATGAATTGGTTATATTCAGCCTCTCATTCGTCAGGTGAGATGCAGGGAATCACTCAAATCCAGAGGCTATTGGCATGTGATTCAGGTAGCACGCCATAGCAAGGCTATGAGCAAAAGAACGTCCAATGTACTTATGTTAGTGCCCCACGTACTACCATGGAGACTCCGGACCACTTGTAAGCTAGATGTACCCGATCTACCCGGTACGAACCGGTCTCCACGTTTGCGATTCTCCAAGCACGTTATCTTCCCCAAGATCAAGGAACCTCCCGAGATAAGAATGCATATGTAGACCTCGGGAAGAGAGTCACGGGGTACCAGGAGTCAACCTAGTCCTGACCACAGTCATCCCTGGAGGCTAAAAAATAAGCTTCTGGATCTGCAGGGAAGTCCACTGGGTCCTGAGGGGCCTTTGTCCCACAAGTGTAAAGTGTCATGTGTACCGAGTACCGAGTAGGAAATCGGTTGTCTATGTTCTAGTCCACTCGATATAAACGTGAGCAAATTATTTATTATACATCATACCACCTAAGTGACCTCGGGAATGATAAAAAGGCGGAGGCTCGCCCGATAACTGATTCTACATCTGGGTTGTCGGTGAGAATCCCTGCAGCAACCCCAGGAACCCGAGCGAAGCGCAGCCTCCGCAAACCGCTGCAAGGAGTGGAGAGGTGCGTCCGGACTTTGGCATTATGCGGAGAGCTGCAGCGGGCAACCTCTAGATTGGCGGACGGTCGCATGATTTTGATCCCCCAAAATCCTAAACATCATGATATTTGCAATGATATACACCGTATGACCGTTATCTATGCAGGCAGCACTCCGTGGGAATATCCCTAGGTTGTAACATAAGATTAGGGATAAATTAAATGCCAGATATGTATGTTGTGTACTCCATACTCCATACTAAAGTTTATGTGTATCTAAGTAGAGTACTTGGCAGGGCCGACCATCGGATCCAGTGCAGCTGGTCTTGGCGCCACTCGGGATTGGTGCCTGACCCAAGGGGAAAACTTGGAAATCTGCACCGAGATGAGTATTAGGTGGCAATTGACTGGACGGGATCTTGAGTCTTGGGTCTTGGGTCTTGGAGTGGTATGGATACTTCTACAGCATACATCACGATGAACATTTGGATTTTGAAAATACCCCTCTGCCCCTCTGCCCCTCTACCCCTCTACCCCTCCATTGCATCTAGTGGGGTGACAGATTGCTTAATTTAATGAGAGTAAGCGAGTCAAGATAAAGGCAATGAGTAAAAAGTGTTTGAGAACAAAAAAAGACGATCAGATAAGCTCGGGCCAAATATGGAAAGCCCCATTTTTTCGATTGCCGTTTGCGGTATAGCTGGCACGTGACTGACCTGCAGCCGTGCTGAGTTGCCGAAACTGGTAGCTGGTGGCGGAGAACTCGAGCTTTTATTTGCCTTTTCTTTTTTTTTTTTTTTTTTTTTTTTTATTCCAACTTTATAGGATGCTACCTAGGTAGGTACTTGCCAATAGGTCATACTACTCATCGCATCATGCATTTTTAGTTACCAAGTCTTTCAGCCTCTGATAGAAATCAATTTATGTACGGAGTACGGAGTAAGAAATGAATAATTAATATCGGAGAGGACCGATCCGAACGAATTGAACACGGAAGAGAAATGTCAAGACAAGGAAGATTTAGGAAGTCAAAAGCCATTAACGAGTTATGATTGATGGGAAGTTAAACGTGTAGTGAGGTTTTTGGTTGAAGAGATAAGGGTCAATTCTTGTGACCTTAAACCATAAGATAACATGGAGCGGGCCCCGAACTTCGGACGTTCTTTCCACGGAAATCACTGGAAATCATTGGGTTTCATCTTTTCCTCGATTGGATCTTCCACTTCTCATTCGTGCAACCTGGTCTGCTTGGGTTCATTGTAGACTCTCTGGACATTTTCCAACTCCCGTTCCTTTTCCCTCCCATCACCCGGAATCTCTCGTCCGACTCCGGCTTCGAATCTCCACATCTCTATATATTTGTACACTCCTCCCCTTTCCATTCTCTCTCTTCATCTACTCTCTAAAATATCTTATACTGCTCGTGGGCACTCATATATTTAATTTATAAGATCATTGCTAAAGCATTGATCTACCTTCCTCAACGAGTAATCCAGCCCAGTCGAAATGATGCAGAACCTCCCCTTCGAGCCTGAGTTCGAGCAGGCCTACAAGGGTATGTCTCTTCCTTTCCCCCCCTCTCCCTTTCAACGTCAGATCACAATTTGTCCCGAATTGATCCGTCACCCATCGGCATCTTCTCGGCTTGGCTCCACCGCGGGCATAATTTCGGGGTGACTAAGCTAATCCCGAATCATTGGAACAGAGCTTGCCTCCACCCTCGAGAACTCCACTCTTTTCGAGAAGAAGCCCGAGTACCGCAAGGCCCTTCAGGTCGTCTCCGTCCCCGAGCGTGTCATCCAGTTCCGCGTGGTCTGGGAGGATGACAAAGGCCAGGTAAGAATTTTAGCTTCCGATTTCTTCCAATTGCCATTCTAATTGCCACCTAGGTCCAAATCAACCGTGGATACCGTGTCCAGTTCAACTCCGCTCTTGGCCCCTACAAGGGTGGCCTCCGGTTCCACCCTTCGGTGAACCTGTCCATCCTCAAGTTCCTCGGATTTGAGCAGATCTTCAAGAATGCCCTGACCGGCCTGAACATGGGTGGTGGTAAGGGTGGATCTGACTTCGATCCCAAGGGAAAGACCGATAACGAGATCCGCCGCTTCTGTGTCTCCTTCATGACCGAACTTTGCAAGCACATCGGTGCCGATACCGATGTTCCCGCCGGTGATATCGGTGTCACCGGCCGCGAGGTCGGCTTTATGTTCGGCCAGTACAAGAAGATCCGCAACCAGTGGGAGGGTGTTCTCACCGGCAAGGGCGGCAGCTGGGGCGGCTCCCTCATCCGCCCCGAGGCCACCGGCTACGGTGTTGTCTACTACGTCGACCACATGATCAAGTACGCCTCCGGCGGCAAGGACTCCTTCGCCGGCAAGCGCGTCGCCATCTCCGGTTCCGGAAACGTCGCCCAGTACGCCGCTCTCAAGGTCATCGAGCTCGGTGGCTCTGTCGTCTCCCTCTCCGACTCCCAGGGTGCTCTCGTCATCAAGGGCGAGGAGGGCTCCTTCACCGTCGAGGAGATCAACACCATTGCCGCGATCAAGGTCGAGCGCAAGCAGATCGCTGAGATCGCCTCCACCGAGGCCTTCAGCTCCAAGTTCAAGTACATCCCCGGTGCCCGCCCCTGGACCAACATCACCGGCCGCATCGACGTCGCTCTCCCCTCTGCCACCCAGAACGAGGTCTCCGGCGACGAGGCCAAGGCTCTCATTGCCGCTGGCTGCAAGTTCATCGCTGAGGGCTCCAACATGGGCTCCACCCAGGAGGCTATCGATGTCTTCGAGGCCCACCGTGTTGCCAACCCCGGTGCCGCTGCTATCTGGTACGCTCCCGGTAAGGCCGCCAACGCCGGTGGTGTCGCTGTCTCTGGTCTTGAGATGGCTCAGAACTCTGCTCGTGTCAACTGGACCCGTGAGGAGGTCGACTCCCGTCTTATGAAGATCATGGAGGACTGCTTCAACAACGGTCTTGCCACCGCTAAGGAGTACGTTACTCCTGATGAGGGTATCCTTCCTTCCCTTGTCTCTGGCTCCAACATTGCTGGCTTCACCAAGGTCGCCGAGGCCATGAAGGAGCACGGTGACTGGTGGTAGATCAGTCGCCCCCCTATATAATATGGGTGGTGTTCTGTGATGATTTCTGTCCTCTCTTGAGGAGAGGCAGCTTCGATGCATTTTCTTTTTAAAATAGCTTTTTACCCTTTTGTCAAGCGTGTTACGGATAGAGGCGCCGGTTTTCCAACTGTTGCATTTGATTGATATCCCCACTTGAGCACCGCTGTTTGTTTTGGTTCTGCACTTGGGATTGTCATGATGATAATGAAATTCAATGAATGATTAAAAAATATTTGTTTGGTCCTGTAAACTCTAGAGGTTTTTATCAGAGTAGCTGGTTTCTCGAGACTGCTCAGGTGGGCCTCGACGATTACCTGAAGTCTTTTAATTCTTTGACCCCATGAAAATTCATAGTCCTAAATTACATACGCAGGTCCTCTCGGGTGCTGTATCTGTTATGACTTTCGTGCTGTCGTAGAACATCCCGTCCACAGGTACATATTTTGACTTGCGGCTTGAGGCAGAAAAAAATATCCAAGTCACGTGCTAGAAAATGATGACCATCACGTGATGATTACATAACTGCTTTCACAAGCCCCGGGGCGCCAACCTAAGAAAGAGCTATCCTCACAGCCTCAAGGCCAGCGATCTATTCCTCTAATGAAAATGTTTAATGCAAGTCTGTAACTTGCAATCTCATTTTTAGATTTTTCAGGGTGCAGTGTTATGTTGGGAAGATGACAATGCTGCCGGACAGGGCAATCCCCGAACAATGGAGGACCTTCCTCCATCAATGTTTGGCCAATCGTATAGATATAGACGAGTTCACGGACTTGTCAGGGCTGATGTTCGCCCGCGCACCAGTTAAGGAGACTGAGCTCCTCGATCTGCTTCTTGAAGCTCGCGCTTCATCCAGTGTTACCTGGGACCCTCTTTTGCCGCTGTACGTCGATGGACTGTGCAAAGTTGGGAGGGTTAAGTCTTCTTCTGCGCTGGCGAGTCTATTAAAGCACTCTTCTGTTCTAGATGCGTCGGGGTCTGGTGAAGGCGATGGTGGAGCACCAGGCTCACTCTCCAAAGCCAAGAAGCAGAAACCATCCACTCTCATGACAGATATCAAAGTCATCCAGGATGTCATGGTCTTCATTTCGACTGGGTCAATCCCTGAGACTGTGGTTGAGGCTACAGATATCTACTCTACCACTGTAGACTGGATTATGGCTGTCGTGGCGTGGCACAACCACAGCCTGGACGTTTCGCAGCAAACGGGCGGCTTGATGGGGTCCCCTGACGCAGTGTCATTGTTCGAGTCGCTTGGGATTCTACTTGCAGCTTTGTCTGGGACCAATAAAGGACTAGAAGCTCTGTCTAGTGATTACAATCAAGGTAAATCTACATTGTCCCTGCGCTTGGTGATGATCTCACATATTCGTTGAACGTGTATTAACAGATTTTCGATAGCGTTGAAAACCAAATTGGGACAGGCTCTGTCAAGCTATTTACCTCTCTGTATCGATGTCTCTCTGCCACTTCGGCATCGCCTTGAAGAGTTACAGAAAGTATTCAATCTTTACCCCGGTCAATCTTCTAAGTCTCTGGATGGGCCTGCTATCGACAGCGTGAATGTCAATGCCCTTCAGTTTGAGTCTTCTGTCATGGATGGCCCAGTTGTGAACACTAGAGCTGGACTCTATGTTTATATCAATTCGATGGTAAGCTTCTCTCTACCTTGCGATTTTGGGTTCATGGCTGACGAACAACAGGTTGTGGGACGTCCTTTGGTTGATGATACCATTCTGATCAACTACCTCACCAATAGATACCAGGTGAGTCCAATTAACCCAATTCACTTCTTTCTCACTAGCGAAAGTGATTCAGTTCATTTCTTCCTCGCTTGTCAGTATAGCTGAGATCATTTGATTAACCCCTCACCAGGGCCACAATGACGTCCTCATTGAGGAAATCATTACAGCTGCCTTTGATGTTCTTTCCAACGGCGTATATCGCAATGAATCCAGCCGCACGATGCTTCTGTTCCGATCTTTCCTTGTTAACAAGCTTCCCGCCTTTTTCGCAGCCATCTCGGCGGCATCCATGGTGCCAATATCCATGGAGATGTGCATCAGTCACGCATTGAGCCGTTTGGACCCGAACGCATTCCCTTCCTTCTCTCAGATTTTCTCCATGCAAGGGAGCAGTGTTCTATCAGATGCTCGCCAGGAGTTCCTTTTTGCTTGTGCATCGCACAAGCTCATCCAAGAATCCAGCATTGAACAGCTTCTCGGGGAGAACCCTATGCAAACATTGCCTGGTGGTGGTCCTTATGTCAAGGACGATCTTGTTTCGCAAATCAATAACAACCACGAACGTGCTGAGCAACTAATTGGCGAGATCGAGTCGATGGAGGGTAATGCAGGCGCAATAGTTGGCGCTGTGGTCGATGTATGTTCTAGACTATCCGATATATGTTTTCCGGGAATACTTAAATGCTAACTTCGTCAAGGTCATGCATAATTTGTGTCATCAGAAGGAGACAATGACGCTCAAGAATATCTGCAACTCACTCTCACGTCGCCCACAAACCTTGGACGTCATGTTATTGTTTAGAACTACAAAGCAAGTGTTACAACCTCTTTGTGCTGTCCTTGATTCGTGGAAGTGGGACGAGGATCAGGGTGAAAACCAGCCTGTATATGATGAATTTGGCAGTATATTGTTGCTGGTTCTCGCGTTCAAATATCGCTATGACTTGAGTCCTTCTGATATGGGTATCTCGAGCAGCGATTCGTTCTTGTTGAAACTTTTGGACCGGGGCGCTTGCAGCCAGAAGCTGACCGACTTGAGCGAGAAGCAAAACAAAGATCTTAGCGCTTGGATAGGAGCTCTGTTCATTGCTGAGGGCATCAGTGAAGAGACCATGTCCTCTTGTAGCCCACACGAATTTTACATGCTCGTGACAACTCTATTTGATCAGAGTCTTGGTGCATGTGAGTCCGGAAAGCTTGATTTCGACACTTTGAAAGGAGGATTTGAATGTAAGAACATCGTGACGCGGTCGCTTCCCAATACTCAGCTAACCATAATACAGATCTGCTCGAGCCCTTTCTCCTCCCGTCCCTGGTTGTCGCATTGACATGGCTGGGCAACCACATCTGGGAATCAGAGAACGACCCTACAATCCCCATCAAAACGCTCCACTCCCTAGTCAAACCCAGCTCAATCTCCGGCGAGGCCCAAGCCATCCACCAAACAGTGCTAAACATAACCGGCTGCCCACTAGAAGAACAACTAAAGAATGTCCGAACGAGAAACCAGTCGCGGACAGATATCAAACCAATCCTTGACGCCCTGGAGCCATACGTCTCCTTCCGCCGCGTTGGCAGCTGCCACCGCTCCGAACTCGACACCTGGACCTCCCATACCGCAGGTGGGCTAATAGCCAGCATCCGCACAACCCTCCAAGCCCTTGTCCTCTGGAGCGCCAACGCAGGAATCAACATGGCCCCACACGCATACACGCACCGGCAATTACTAGCAGGGATCCGCATCCTGGGCGCAACACGCGTGCTAGGCGCGATTATCGACGAAGTCAAGCAGCAGACTGAAGCAGGCAGCGGACATATCGCACTGGACATTGCGACAACGATGGTGTGTGCTCCGATGAACGAGTCCTTCGCCGTCGATCAAAATAATTACCACCCAGTTGACCCGAGCAAGGAGGCTTTACCGCGGTGTACGATCTTGACGCTGCGCGATGCCTTGTCGCTCCAGCATGAGAACGTGCCTAAGATCTCCGAGAGTGATCCGCTGCGCGCGGAGGTTGTGGTGCGGCTTGCGCGTCGGGTCAATATGCTCATGGCCCCACCGTCGCAGGTCTCGAATATCGATGTCTCGAATATTATTCAAACTATGCATCTTGGCGTTGAGGGGCAGGAGGACCGGATAGACCTTGAACCTTCTGCTGCTGATGTTTCGCGTCATGAGGATGATTCGGATAATATCAATCAGATGCTTGATAAAGCGGCGGCGGATGCAGCGGTGGCTGGGATGGATGGCACTATTGATGTTGGTCAGGATATGGGCCTTGATTCTGGAGCCGGAATGGATGCTATTGATGATGTGCTCAATGCGGCGGATATGGCGGTTGGAAATCCCGAGTTCCTTGATTTGGATATGGAGGGTATGTTCTAGGTGATGTGATGACTTTGTTAAGTTTGCTTTGGAATCTTTGGAATCTTTGGCGCCTATGGACTCGCAGCCTAATCATTGCATGGCATTTTATTCGATTCGTTTCTGGGGAAGGATGATTTATTGAACGGCAATGAAATTTTGGATCCTTCTGCAAGAATATATCATGAATGACCCGTCATATAGAACTAGTGTAAAGGGCATCATTGCGGACTTGTGAATTCACGAGAAAATAAAATTAGAAAGTGTCACCCGCATACATATCCCTATAGCATGGTCGAATCGTGCATGCAAGAAAAGACATCATCATCTTGCGCTTCGGTACACCATAGAAACAAAGCATAACGTCTATTCTAGGAACGACCCGATATCCCATTAATCATCGCACCACGATGCAAAACCATGGTTTCGATTGTGTTCTCAAGTTTCCAGCTTGTAAACCCCCTGAGCCAGAGATCAGTTTCTCTACAGCTTTCAGGGCTGGGGTGCTTGATTGGGTGCTCATTGAGATTGGGGTTACTGCTATCATACCTGAGAAACAGGGGGTGGCAATGATTGTAGTGAGCTTGGTGTTGGGCTGTCTTGGGAATATTGGTATTGACCCACACGAGAAAATATATTTACAACATACGTGATGTGTAGTTTGCGTATCTTTATAGGTGAGTACTCAAGTTTACATTCTATTCATAATCTATATGCGTTCCGTAGAGGCCACTTACTACGCGTTATACTGGAATATATATATCGACTAGCGGGTTGCTTGATTTTCTTGGGCTAGAATACTGTTGGGCTAGAAGACGAAGTAGAAGAGAAGCGGAAGGACGCTCTATGTTAACTGTCAACGATGCGTG